TATTGAAATCTTGTAAAAAGTATAACAAACTCAGAAAAAACAATATCACCTTGGATTTTTCTACTTCCAAAATAATTACTTCAATAATGTTGCCTACAATTTTTATAATTTCGTACCATATTTTTTTAACTGGCTTTTAGTTTATATTTGAAGTGAACTAATTTATCAAATCCTGTTCACATGTGCTCTATTCAACCTACGATCGACAAAATTATTGCAGTAAATGGAGAGGAAAAAAGCGTGTGTCGGAAATAGGAAATCTTTATCTTAAGTTCAGAAGTGAAAACAATTTGCACCTCGTCAACACCCACCGGATTAATTGAATTATAACTATTTTAATTCTGATTTTATCAGTATTTGCAATACACTATTTTAAAGAAAATTAAATGAGCTACAAGTTTCTCTATCATAAATTTTACAGTAACTTCTCTTATTTTGAAATGGCAAAGGATTGAAGAACTCGAAAGACACTCTTGTTGGACACTATCAATATTTGTGTAACAGAAAAATAATAAAAAGCAATAATTGGTCAGTAAAAGACCTTGAATTTTCATTTATATACCTATATACGTAATCTTTTATTTTTTTAAATAGATTTTTTTTCATAAAATCAGGAGCTTTTTGGAAATCGTTTGCACTAAAGTTATGGTATTTTCTAAAATCCGTCAAGATCTCTTAAACCAAGTTGATTCTAGAGGGAATACGATTATTTTTAATTTTGGTGGAAATGCCACTCAAAAACTGTTTGCTTTAAATGAAAAAAATATGGTATGCGTCTTTTATCTGCATGATAGCTCACTCATTTTACACGCAGAAGTACTCAAGCTTATTTTGAGTACTGTAAAACCCCATTTTCATATCTAGCCTAATATTGTTCCAAGAATAATTTATAGAACACCGATTTATTAGAATTTTAATCAGAGATGATATAGCCTCTGGTCTGTGCAAAGATATTAAAAAATTATTTCCACAGTTTTGCAAAACAAAACTTTCATTTTTCTTACTAAAAAAATTCATGATTATCGACTGGTTAGTTGTATCAATGTTAGGTGCAAAATTCTGTGATGTGTACACATTTTTAGATATAAAATACTATGTTCAATTTCCACTGATGATGACATTAAATTGAATGTCGAAACGTTTGGAGTTAAAGATTATTTTATAAATCTTTGCCTTTTCTTTGTTTGATGTATCGCCCTCAAGAATTCACTCATGTATAAATATATATATATATATATATATATATATATATATATATATATACTAGCTGTATCCTGTCACGTTTTGCTGTGGCACAATGTGATTGAATGGTTGAGAGATGGGAAATAAAACAAATAATAGTTTTTATAATAGTTTAATTTTGCAATATTTGTGGATATACAATATTTTTTGTTTTTCCACTGTCTGCGAAAATGTAAAGGCTATCTGGCTTGTCAACTCGACTAAGCGCGACATACAGTTTTTTTTTTTTTTTTTTTATTTTATTTTTATTCTGCAATCTATAAAAATAATTATATTTAGCAGAGAATGCTGACAAGTGTTTACAATTGCTTGTTTACAAATTAGTACATACGCCCAGTGGTGTATCTACTTTAGTTAATATATAAAAAGAAAAAACTAAAGACAAATATAGAGAAAAAATATATATATATATATAAAAATAAACTATAATACATACAGTTGACCATGTAAAAAACAATCCTGATCTAAATCCAAACCACGCATTTCAAAGGATTGGTCTTTATTTATTGTGATTGCAAATGCGATTCGAACAGGAAATTGCAATCTTTTCAATTGAAACTGTGTATCGATCGGAATGATGGGTATTCTAGGAATGAGGACATATACGCCTTTGACAGACCCGTTAAAATCTTTGTTTCCAATATGTTTTTCATTAATTTCGTAACTGCAAATCGCGTGCCGTTGCATAATTTCGGCTGATTGATATTTTGTAAAAGGATAATTGGCACACGTATTTTTAATTTTAATACGTGTGTTGGCATCCCTGGCAGATCGAGCCAATGATTCACTAAGCCAATGGTGATTTTTGTAATTTACTTGTATATCAAGAAAAACTTTTTTGATTAGTTCTGCCTTCGATGCTACTAAACTACAAACATGATCAAGGAAGTATATTCGTCGAGACATCTCATATACTGGTAGCAGTCCGTTTCCAATTTGCAGTAACTGCCATGAGAACACCTCTGCAGATGGATCATTTTGTAACTGGACACGCATATTCGTAGTCAGTTGCAATGTACGTACGTGCCGCCATAGCGTTGAATATTTCAGGCAAACATTACTTTCGTCTGCTGGTGTCGATCGAGAAATTGCAGGCAATGTTTGCCTAAAATCTCCGTCAAGCAATATCAGTGCATCCCGAAACCGATCAAGAACTTCAAGCTATTTCTTATGAGTCATCGTGCACTCATCCCAAATAATTAATTTACATTTTTGTAATACTTTTGCCATACCGGATGCTCTAGAAATAATGCACGTAGGAGTCTCAATTTGCATGTTCAATGGCTGCTCTAAAGCGGAATGTGCAGTTCTTCCACCTAGTAATAACGTCGCAGCTATTACAGACGAGCTAGAGCTATTTCGTTTTTCGATTGAACCGCTGTTAGAATTAATATAATGAGAATTGTTTTCCCAGTCCCTGTCATTCACTGACTTTCAGTTTACGGATTAATTTGGGAAGATTTGATTGGGCGTATGCCTGAGGATCATCAATGTTATACCTTCAACATGATAAAAGAAGCTGATCGATACTGCTTATTAATTGTTGGCTCCATCATCTATATATGCAATATTGCTTCATTAAATGGAGAAGTTGTCTTTGGCCAACGATGGAAGATGTCGATACAATACCCTGCCATTCATCATTTATTGGGATATATAGGGTGTATGATCTTTCAAGTGTACAAGTTTGTAATGTGAAAAATATAAAAAGTAAAATATTCATTATATCTGACAATTCAAATGATACAAAGAACACACTTCCTTTGCTTCAATTATCCTAAGTGATTTTAAACTTGCTGTTTTTTATATTTATTATTTTTTTTATATTTTATTAGTTTTATATATTACAATAAGATATATAAATATATATATATATATATATATATATAATAATTTTTTTTTTAATTTTCAAAAATTTTTCCATGCTATTCCCATACGAAGTTTGATTGAATTGCGCACTTTCATTTTTTCTTTCCTCGCTCACAAGGGCTCAAATGAATCCAAATTAAAAAAAACAATTCTCTGAAAGTTTCAGCTCTTAATATAATCTTATAAATTGCAATTTCTTATCATTATATCTTTGAAAGAATAAAAGATACATATAAAGGTATATAGATGAAAATTCAAGGTCTTTTTCTGACTAATTATTGCTTTTTATTATTATTTTGCTATTATGTTAATATAGTTATGATTGTTTAAAGTGTGCGCTGCTGTACAACCAGAGTGTCTTTCGACCCCTTTAACCCTCCGCCGTTAAAATAAGAGAAATTACTGTAAAATTTATGATAGAGAAAGTTGTAGCTCATCTAATTATTTTTAAAATAGTATATTACAAGTTCTGATAAAATTAGAATTAAGAGTTATAATTCAATTAATACGAGGGGGGGGGATGACGGAGTGCAAATTGTTTTCACTTCTGAACTTAAAATTAAGATTAGCCTATTTCCAAAAAATCATGCAATTGGAGCACAGTAAAAAAAATTCACAGAGCGCTTTTTTCCTCTCCATTTACTGCCATAATTTTGATGATCGTAGGTTGAATAGAGCACATGTGCACAGGTTTTGACAAATTAATTCACTTCAAATATGAACTTAAGAATAATGTGTATTGAATTATTAGTGAAAAAAATGTAATTTAGAAATTAAAATTACTATAAGTCAGTTAAAATATGGTACAAAATCATAAAAATTATAAGCCACATTATTGAAGCAATTATTTTGGGTAGAAAAATCCAAGGTGATATTATTGTACCTTTACCGCGCATGCTATATATTAATTCTTTCTGAATTTCTTATACTTTTTAAAAGACTTCAATTTTCAACATGTGTATCTTATGCTAATGACAATAAATACATCACAAAGGCAGACGCTGATTTTTTGTGTGATAAATTTGGAAAATCTATGTTTTAGTCGTGAATAAACAAAAAATCGTTTATTTTAACATCTACATCTACAGGTATTACTAAAAATATTGGATGGCCCTTGTCATTAAAATAAATTGAGCTATTGGAAATAAATATGTTCTACAAATCGCAGTGTATAGTTTTTAATAATTAAAGTGTTAACTGTGGAAATTGAAACATCATTTTATTTGAAGCAGTTCTACATTTAACATCACTCATATATTGGTGCTAATAGTAATTTCAAAAACAATAAATATTATTTTTAACTGAACGGTAAATATTAGTATAGGGTATTGGAAAAACGTATATTTAAATAAAATTGGTGCTTTGGTAGTGGAATTGGGAGAATTTATGTGAGTGTTTTTAATAATAGTTCGTCTTTTTCATATAAATCAGTAAATAACATGTTAATGTGTTTTGCATATTTATGCTTTACTGTCGCATCGGATATCGACTTTGCAACATGTTACTCACTAAAAATTCTAAAAAATTATATAATTGTTCCGATTTAAAATGACAAGAACTGTTTTAGTAGTGCAAATGTGAACAATTATTATTAGGGAATAATTAGTAATATTTCAATTACATGTAAGTTTCACACCATATCACTTTCTTTATAAATTAGTTTTAATTAATAGTTTCGTTCTGTTCTTTCAAATTATAGTCTGGAAACAATATAGTCTACAAACAAACGTATGGAAACAATACAAATGTTATAGGTTCCTACAAGCTTTTGTTTGATGTATAGCCCTAAAGATTAAATCTCACATATTTCTCTATCAAAATTAATATATATATATATATATATATATATATATATATATATATATATATATAAGCGACTTTTTAGTTACCGGTAGTTCGATCTTGTTGTTTCATGTATTCCAATTTGTTTAACATTTTATCAATTTCTTTCTGTCGGTCAAGCTTAGTTTGTTCTCTTTTCCGCTGTTCTTGTAGACCTCCCTTTTCATACTGCTCAATATCCATTATTCCAATATTTGTACAAAAATCACGAAATTCCTCATCTACGATATTTTTAATACGTCTTTTCAATTCATTTAATTTCTGATAATATGCTTCTAAATCTTCAGAAATAGTTTCAATGTCACCCTGAAAAATAATTCAGTTTCACTCAAATGTTAAAATTTGCATTTAAAATTTGAATTTAAAACAAAGCTCTTGAATTTCATATCTAAACAAATATAATAGTTAATAGTGTGTATAGGATAATAGTATGTATGTGCCCCACAAAGGTCCAATTTGAGTATAATTATATTGTAAAAACCAAACCAATTATAGCACAACAAATAACACGTATTAAACAAACAATAATTTTTTGACTATATTCAGTAAAACTCCCAGCTTATTCATTTTAGAAATATGCTAATTTTGCTCTTTTTAAAAAAATTGTAACCTAGTCCCTATAGGCGAGGGAAAATGAGACGGTCACGGGGCAAAAAGGCCCCATGCTTATTTTTGATTTTAAAGGGTTTTTACAAGAAAATAGATACATTATTCAACCGATGCAAAATATAATATTTACGGGTACACTTTTTTCATATATAAAACTACCTTGATGTAGTATTTCATAAAAAATCATCAAAAAGGAGTGGAATAAATATTTTTGACTTATAATTTGTAAAATTGTTTTTTATTAACTTGCATCACTTTTTCGGCTATTTTTAATTGTTTACACCTTTTCCAGGGTATAGGTTCAGTTGGTCCTTCTTACCCTACCCATGTGTTAGTTTTTATAAAGTCTATGTAAAAAAACAGTTGGAAATGATTTATAGTTAACAATAAATTTTAGAAAACAATTAAATAACGTATACTTAAAAATTATATTAAGGTGTTAAAAACTAAACAACGCGGCTCACAACCAAAAAAACTAACAAAAAAAAAAATACTTTTGCTATGTATTATCTAAAACTAAAACTATCAGATATTTTAGATAATTTAAAACTTATTTTAGTATATATTTTTATGTATAGAATTCCAAATTTTTATTTCTTATAAATATAATATTTCATAATCTCTACTTACATCAACTTCCTGGATTTTTGAAATTATTTCATTAATAGTTTCATTCATTGAATTTTTTTGTTCAGCCTAAAAATAAAATAATTTAGGATACATATAAATGTATAACTAAATATTGCATATTCTACCATCTCTTGTGCGAAATTTTTCATCATTCTCAATCTAATTTCAATTCCTTTTTTTTCACAGGATTTATTTTTCAAAGTTTTAATTTCTTTGATTACATCCCGCAATTCTTTTTCGTATTCTTCCTGAACAGAAAACAAAAATAATAAAAAAATTCTTAACACTCAAATTTAACATACTTAATAATATACTATGCGGGTAGTAAATAAAGGTTTTGAGTACATACAACTTTGATTTTTATTTCAACTAAATTTCTATGGTCCCATCGTCTAGCTTTCCTCATAAGATCAGATTCACCACCTGACATTAATCCTGATTTAAAGAACATAGTGCCATCGAGTGCAACAGCCTGTAAAAATAATGCAAGCAAATTAAAAACTAGTGAAGTATGGCATTGTTCGATGAGGCAAATTGCAGTAACTTCTCGTACCGTAACGAATTGGTCGAGGAATATTAAATGTTTTCATTTTTTTTTTTATTGTTTCAACAGCAATCAGAACTCTTAGTTTACATGTTCTATAAGCTGTTTTGTTGAACACTTATAACTTGACGTATTTTATGAGAGGCAACCCATCGGTTTATCATTCTACTATGTGTGGGGTTTATATTAGCTCATACGTCTAATAGTTATCATATTATTGAAAGATGCTGCTATGTCCACGAAGAACGATTTCCGAATGTTTTCAAATAGATTATTAAATAATCTATTTGAAAACGTTATTAAATATTGTAAGATTGTCCAATATTTATAAGAATTACATAAATAGAATTGCAAAGTTGAAATTATTTGTTTTAAATATATTAGAACAGAATTACAATTAAAATCTGAATTATTTTCTATATAAAAAAATATTGAAGAAAAAATAAACATTTTTTGAAAAAAAAAATTTTTTTTGATAAAAAAAATTGAGTTCATTTTTTACCAAAAGCAATTATTTTCTTGAAACAATTGGACGCTTAGTTCTCTCAAAAACTGCCATTTTTTGCACATTTACCTCTGTATCTTCGAAATGGCTGGACCTGCCTTTGCCAAAAACTAATCAGATCTTCTCCTAATCATTACAAATTGAATCTTTTTTAGATCATTCAAATCGGAGTGAACGGAGTAATTCACTCAAAAACTCGATTTGTATTTTCTGCACTCTTCGCTCCGTATATCAGTAAACTGCTGGACCTGCCTTTGCCAAAACTAATCAGCACATCTCCGAATCGATAGGAATCGAAAGTTTTTTGAACCCTTCAAATCGGTTGATTCGTGCGCCCGAAAACGTGGACGAAAAAATGCGGACATACAAAACACACACACACACACATACACATCAATTTTTTATGAGGTATGCCAAAATGTTCAGAAACCTTCAAAACGTCGAGAAATGCAAAAATTTTTATTTTCAATTTTCAGCCCATTACTATAAATACCTATATAAGTCGGGCGTAACATAGTATGAGAGTTTTTTTTTTTTAAGTTTATCTATTTAAATCCATACGTTTCGGCTAACATCCTAGCCTTCATTCAGTGGTAATCAAATTAAAATTTTGTATTCTTATATAGCATGATTAGGATACAAAATTTTAATTTGATTACCACTGAATGAAGGCTAAGATGCTAACCGAAACGCATGGATTTTAAATAAATAAAGTTAAAAAAAACTCCCATATTATTTTTATTGATGTTACGCCCGACTTTTTAACTCAAATTAAACATATATATCAACATCAAATTGAAGACTATTCAATATATATATATATATATATATATATATTGAATGGTAGAATCTTGGATTTGTGTATATTTTGTAGAGTTTCGAACAAGAATCCAAAAATAATACAAAATAAAAAAACAAGAAAAGTTTTTAATAAACAATTTCTTTATTTAATTATTTGTTTACTGTCAACGTTTCGGAACTAGGTACGTTCCATCTTCAGGACATCAGTCAAGAAACATGATCTTGATGAGATTTAAGCAAACAATATGTTTAGGAATAGAAAATAGATTTTTCTTAAATAATAAATTAATTGTAACAAATAATAATGTACAGAAATATGATAATATGATCAAAATGAAAATGATAAAAATAAATGAATGGATTATCAGAACAGGATATTAAAAATGATAGAAATTTTTTATGAAAGTTATGGAAAAAATTTTTTAAGAAAAGATTAATGATAAAATTGAATTAATTACCTGTATGTTTGAATATACGTTAGCACTTTTTCACTAAACAAGAATTTTGAACAAAAAATGAATTTGTGAGTTATTTTTCCGCCGAATAGTTCACTTTTGTAAATCAAAATTACCAAAAGTGTTGTCTTTTTTAAAATTATTATTTGAAAACAAATAATATTGTTTTCTCGATGTTATACTATTGGCTTTTGGAAGCGAACTAACTGAATTTGATGGTTCATATGTAACACGTGTAAAAACTTGAAACGAGAACTGTGAGATTATATGTGTGTGTTTTTTTATGTTAGGATGTAAATACTAATAAATATATATATAGTATATATATAGTAAATATTATTTGTTTTCAAATAATAATTTTAAAAAAGACAACACTTTTAGTAATTTTGATTTACAAAAGTTAACTATTCGGCGGAAAAATAACTCACAAATTCATTTTTTGTTCAAAATTCTTGTTTAGTAAAAAAGTGCTAACGTATATTCAAACATACAGGTAATTAATTCAATTTTATCATTAATCTTTTCTTAAAAAATTTTTTCCATAACTTTCATAAAAAATTTCTATCATTTTTAATATCCTGTTCTGATAATCCACTCATTTATTTTTATCATTTTCATTTTGATCATATTATCATATTTCTGTACATTATTATTTGTTACAATTAATTTATTATTTAAGAAAAATCTATTTTCTATTCCTAAACATATTGTTTGCTTAAATCTCATCAAGATCATGTTTCTTGACAGATGTCCTGAAGATGGAACGTACTGAAATGTTATGAGTTGTTGTTGTGGGGTTGATTGGATTGGATTGGGTTCCAAATATAGATTGATCCACTCTCCAATGGGGGTGCTAGATCAGTCCAACCTTGATCTGGTGTCGTGGGCAGAGCTTAGAGTTTATAATAGAAAATAACAACACTGGTATGAGTCTCCTCAGAACCGTGAGCACTTTATATTGGTATAGGCTGAAAGATGTCTTTACGCAAAGTAGAATACAAACACTGAATCTAATTTCGACTATAACTTTATTTAATCTTTAATAACTTCACATCACAAACTAGCATAGATTCGTGCTAAGACATACTCTAAGACATTATGGCTAGACTTTTGACTAAGACATCACTGGTTAATACAAATAATTCTGACTCTATATATTATACATTGTACGTGTCAATTCTAGGAATGGCGTCTTCCGCGTTCATGTAAAGATCTTGGACTTCGATCAACATTGAACAATGAATTCATATTTTGATCAAAAGCACGTATGATCGTGTTATTACAGAACACGCCACCCCTAAAGAATATTGTTAGTCCTCTAACAATTGAAAGAAAAAAAAAAACAAAGAAATTACAATTTATTTGGGATTCCTCCCCTCTAAAGCAATTTATCGTCCTCGATAAATGAAAAATAGTAATCTATGGTACAATTGATTATAGCAAAAGAGAGAAAAATTTGAAAATTTGCAAAATATGAAAAAGTAAAAGTATAAAATTTTGTAGTATGTCTGCAATATAGTAATTAGATAACAATTCTGATGATAATATGAATAAAAAAAATTAACATCAACCCTTTTTTTTTTTTTTTTTTTTTTTAAAAATCTAATATTGTTGTAACATTTTGCTGCATATTGTGATTTTTATTAATTCAATAAAATTATTTTGATTTAGCTTCAGCAGTTTGTTTCATTTCAAAAGTAGGATTTTGATAATACAGCAAAATATTACAAACAATAATTAGTTACATTATTCTTATTGGATATAGTATGCAATCTAATTCGCATAGTTGCATAACTTGTGTGACTGCTTTAAAATGATTAGTAGACAAAAGCGAAGTTGTGACCTATTTGATTTATACATCAATAAAACTTCTAAAAATTTCTGTGATAAAATTAATTATTTGATCCATTATCACTATCATTAATTGGTCTATTTGCATAAGAATATTAACAAGGTGCAAGATCTCTCTTTCTTTTCACAAATTTAATATTATAATAAATTGTTTAATTTTGTATGATAATTTATTTATTTGATTCGAATTTAAAATATGATCAAAATACTCTGTGTCAGATTCAGTTCAATATTTTTAATAGGATGTTTAAAAATCGCGCGATTATTTCTAACTGAATTCTAACTATATGAGAATCCTGCATCAATCTTCGAAAATTTAAAAAAAATAGCTTGCACACATGTTGCCATTCTGATGCATTACATCTAGATTGAAATGGAAGATAGTGATAATTCGTCTTGTAATCTAAATTCGTCTTGTAATTATATTTTGTGTTGTCACATACTTCTACATTAATACATTTCTGTAGGCCCTCTTGATTTTAATTTTTATTTTCAAATTTTTATTTTGAACATTCTAACTATACAATATAAAATATTAAATTGAAATTATCATGTTTAGAATGTCAATATTAATAAAAAATTGAGTGGCCTTTCAATTTCTGAATATTTGATACAAATATATTATTATATATATTTTTTCTATATTTTGTTTCCATTTGAATTATTGATACTTCTCATCAAAATTACTTTTGTTATAAGTGAATAAATAATTAAAGCTTTGAACACTCGAAATTCGTAATTAGTTATTATCAAAAAAAAAATAAAAATGCAACTATAAAAACATTAATATTTCAAATAAAACAGATTACGATAAAATTATTCAAAAATCAAAAATAAATATTAAATTAATGAAATTTTAATTGAATAAAATATGTCGCCAATTAATACTTAAAAAATTAAATAATAATAAAATAAAATTTTGTAAAATACATCAAGATTCATAAAATTAACAAAGTTAAGACATCATAAGCAAATTTGTATTGCGTGCCTTGTCAAGGTTTGAATCCGAATATTACGTGATATTTCTTTACTCAAATTTCAAAATAGAAATATGATAGAGCTTGTTATGCTATTAACGCAAATAATCGAAATTAGTGTGGACAATAAAAATTTCAATTAGGAAAAATATTATTATTTTCAATTTACGCAAATAATAGAAAACAAATTTACTCAATCGCTTACTAATTTTTCAAAATAAAATTTATTATATTTGTAGAGGAAATTTAGGAAATATTTTTCGTTCAATATAGCACCAACAAATTGAATTGAAATTAAAATGAAATCATTTAGTATCAATAATTCAAACATGGACTTTTTCTATTTTCCTATTTTTTTTTTCAATTTATAATTCTGTTCTATGGGGATAGTTACATTGCTATTATTGACATTAATTTAAATTTATCCCCTTCATTTCTGTAACATTTTGTGGTATGGGCAGTTGATTAAATTTAATTATTATTGAAATTTGCATATTCAAGTTCAATTATTTTCACACCAAACTTCAAAGTTCATTTAATGTAATATTGAAGATTAAAATTTCATTCTTATGTAATATTTTAAAATTATTTCTAAATTCAACATTTAAATTAAATTCAACATTTGGAAATTATTCTCATGCAAGATTTAATAATATCGATAAAATCAACGAGCGTGTTTTGGTCCCAAAATGAAAATAACAAAATAAATTTATTTGAAAGATCCCGCGGATTCATGAGTCTCTTATAAGTCATCAAAATTACGTCAAATATATTTAAGATCTCGCGGTTTTCACTAACCTTATGAGTCTCCATTCGGGTTTTTCCTACCCTTATTAATTATTTATTTGTCAGATACCTATTGTTTCTTTTGAACAATTTAATATTAGGCTATCTGATATGAAGGATTGGCACTATCGCCTGAAAAGTGGCACAATGGCTACACTAAATCCTTTAGGCATTTCGCCTTTATACTGGCATTTAAAGCCACATTAAAAATCGCGACGTTATAAAAAGATCAACAGATGTAAATTTACTCTTGATAGGATACTCAAAGTCATTAACTAGAGTCACTAACTTTTCAATTTTACTTTCTGAGTCTTTTATATTATTACTTGATGACTTTGTAACTAATCTTTACAATTATTTTACTTTGAAATATTTCTGTTATGAAATTCGGACCTGGCAATGCTCGTAATTGTTTTTGTTAAAAAATGCTTAGTTAACAATATTTACTTGAACTTAACCTTGATGGTTACGTGAAGTCAACAAAATAATAGTGGTGTTAACAATAATCGAACTGCCCGTTGTTACAAAAATGTTACCCAAGTACAACCAAAAATCCTAATACTTAAAAAATCAATTTGATCAAAAATATTATTTGACAAAATATTATTATTTATATTTTAATTGACAAACAAAATCTTAAAAAAAAAAAATTGAAGACTATGATGTTCTGGTCTGAATGTGTAGTTTTGCCAAAAGAAGGATTGGTTTTTCTTACTTGGGGAGTGAGCCTTAATCGAGAAGTCTGCGTCGATTTAGGGAGAGTATGTCCTTGTCCCTCTGCGTAAAGTCGCCTTTCTCACGGTGTTATTTGGTATGCCGCCACCTTTAATGCCTCTGATACTTCGTGCCAGTCCTGATCCTGCTGGTTTTCAGCTGTTGCTGCAGCGCCGGATGCAAAATTTCTGCTACTCAGCTTCTTGCTCGACACTCACAGCACATTCAACACTGCACTTCACCACGAGGTAATCCCACCGCTGCCACCATGAAATGTTATGAGTTGTTGTTGTGGGGTTGATTGGATTGGATTGGGTTCCAAATATAGATTGATCCACTCTCCAATGGGGGTGCTAGATCAGTCCAACCTTGATCTGGTGTCGTGGGCAGAGCTTAGAGTTTATAATAGAAAATAACAACACTGGTATGAGTCTCCTCAGAACCGTGAGCACTTTATATTGGTATAGGCTGAAAGATGTCTTTACGCAAAGTAGAATACAAACACTGAATCTAATTTCGACTATAACTTTATTTAATCTTTAATAACTTCACATCACAAACTAGCATAGATTCGTGCTAAGACATACTCTAAGACATTATGGCTAGACTTTTGACTAAGACATCACTGGTTAATACAAATAATTCTGACTCTATATATTATACATTGTACGTGTCAATTCTAGGAATGGCGTCTTCCGCGTTCATGTAAAGATCTTGGACTTCGATCAACATTGAACAATGAATTCATATTTTGATCAAAAGCACGTATGATCGTGTTATTACAGAACACGCCACCCCTAAAGAATATTGTTAGTCCTCTAACAATTGAAAGAAAAAAAAAAAACAAAGAAATTACAATTTATTTGGGATTCCTCCCCTCTAAAGCAATTTATCGTCCTCGATAAATGAAAAATAGTAATCTATGGTACAATTGATTATAGCAAAAGAGAGAAAAATTTTAAAATTTGCAAAATATGAAAAAGTAAAAGTATAAAATTTTGTAGTATGTCTGCAATATAGTAATTAGATAACAATTCTGATGATAATATTGTCACGAATCCCTTTTTATTTATTGTAAAACCCTTTTATTTATTATTTACTACCCTTGATTCATGCCCTAATTTACTATTGTTGTTACATTCGCGGTCTTTCTACACCCTTACCGTGACGTCGCGATCCTGTAAGAAACTGATTACTTTAAAACTACTAATGAAAAGGCGTTTGTTCGTTACTTAATTAACAAACCTATATTTAAACATAACAATACCTTAATCTAAATCATTTCTTATTCTAACATGCAACTTAAACTAGACTTATCTTTAACCACGGCGCAACCAGTGTCCATCACATGTCCATACATCGGGCCCGATTCACATAAATCACTTAACCATCACCTTTAGGTAATTTCACTAAGTCTACTTTCTGTTTGGGGACAGTCTCCGAACGCTGTCCCCCCATGATGTCCTCTAATCTCACATTCAATACATTTTATTAACACTTTCGTGCGCTGGACCGCACGTTTGTCGACACTGAGGCCACGCCGGCAACTCCCAACCCCGACAACGACTACCTCAAGACTACGACTATATCTAGACTACTCAATGCAGACAACCACCCTCAGCCTGCGGACACATTCCTCATCAGGGACATGGATTACACGCATAGGGAGAGGGGTAGTAATGTGTTATTTTACATCCGTGTGCGGGTCCTCACCCACACATTCGTAACACTACCCCACCTCCTCTAAAGATCGCCCTCGATCTTTCAAAACTCCATCCCTGGTGCTGCACCAGCTTTCTCTGCTCCGGAACCTAGGTGGCGCACTCCAATATCAGTCTGCTCTCCGGATAAAACATCGATGGCGCATTCCCACTTGTCCGATCTGCGGTCTGCTCTTATCCCGTAGGCTCAGACTTTCCTAAATCCGGCATAGCATCTGCACAGGCGTCGACCTCTAGCACCCTGATACACAATTCGGGTCGCGATGTTTCAGTAATGTAGTTGTACACGCGTTCAATTTTTTTTTTTCTTGCACTGTTACACAAAATTACTTCACAACAGATTTCAACCAAAAGTAAGATTACATTAACAGTTTAGTGTATTTGTCCAAAAAGTGTCATAACAAACAAAAAAAAAAAAAAAGAACATCACTTAGTCCACTTTACTTATTCACTGTTTGTTAAAACTTTGATCTAACCTTATTGCTTTTATTACTACCTACATAAACTACATTCAAATCAAAGTTAATTAAACATATCAAATTTAATGAAAAAAATATTCGAACTTATCAAGTATTAAAAATTATCAAACATTATAAAAGTAAATAACATAAAAACACTCAGAAAATGAACATAAACTTATCTACACTTAGCACTTACTTCTATAAAATTTAAAAAAACATAACACTATCTCATAATATTTTTATCAACAGCTTTTTAATCTATTTTAACAATAGATTCTAAAACTTAAAATAATGACATTATAACTACAACAAATTTACATTTAACATTAATATTTGACTTCTGTAAAACATAAGCGCATTTGTTTCTTTATCAACCTAAACCTAGTTACATACTTATTAACGACAATGTTTACTTAACAATGTAAAAACAGAAAACACACAACAAAAGAAAAGCATTGCAAGAGTAAGACTAAGAGCGAGAATAAGAACAATAAAAGTCAAATTGAACATAAGTAATTAGAATACTCTACATATTTTAAAATTCGGGAATTGCTGACTGTTTTGAATTCGGCGGTCCCAACTCTATTAAACGCAAACATAAACCTAATTTTACTTTTATCTTAGTCTAACTATTCCTATCACTATTAAACCGTGTACAGCAAGTGCGCTTCTCAATATAAAAACAAGAAGTGAGTCGTCGGAATGCTTGTTTCCCCGGTGTTCCTAGGCTCCAAACGGTGCTAGATGCCCATAGCACCTTGCCTATCCAATAAAAGACCTGAAGCAGCATCGCGCCCGCTTATAATTTCAGAAGGAAATTACCATCAGCAATAAAAACCAAACAACACACAACGTCGCGCGACGCTTACTGATGGCGGAAGTTTTTGAGCAGGCATCGGGAGCGGATATCTGCTCAAAAACCTCACATTAGCGGCAGTACAATGTGGTAAAAAGTACCGGCTCTAGCGTGAAATCCACAAAATTTCACTAAAATACATATAACATAATCAACAACCAAAGCTTCCAAATGGATAGCGTGATAGCAATCAGCTTGTATGTGATGTATCACGCTTCAACGGTCTCACTCAGAGCACCAGAACCCTCGCTGGGGGTGCTCCCACAGCCCAAATCCATATCCCCATGCTGTGAGATCAAAATCAAATTCATAATCAATAATCCATAACAACAACAAAACACCAGCCCGGGCGATCTTTCCCCAAAACCGTAAAATCCCAAATTTTCCCAAAAATCGCAAAACCCAATTCTATTCTCAATTTACTTTTTCTAAACACCCCTAGTATAACCCACATACATTATATCAAACACAAAACAACAATCATTTTAAAATTTATATTCACTCAAATCTTGCATTAAAACCTAAAACATTTTCATTTAAAACGAGGGAAAAATCAAAATACACTTATCTCTTATACTTAGCTGGCCAGCTGACATTCATAAAAATATGCATACTCACACACTATTTCTCAATTCCCGACTGAACTAAACAACCACTTTCGCAATCAAATCAAAATATTCATCTATTCATGTTAATAATCATCTATTAACCCCTAATTTTCTCTTTTCGCGTCGTATTCCTTCATACGCGAATTATTTCCTTTATTTCCTTGAATCCCTCACAAGGACATCTTTTTTTTTCTCAACATCTTTTTCCCCAATATCATTTTATCCCAGCATTATTCTCAACGGTTATAAAGTATCGCCCAGTGCTCTCTGAGTGATGGAAAAGAAACACCAAAGTACAAACCAACGCCTCTGCACTTGCTGTCAATTCTAACCTATATACTATATACTATCCCTAGCATTACCCCTAATTATTCATCCTGCCTATTTATCTACTTCATTTATTCTATGTAATTTATCTACCTATGCATTTGCTACCTTTTTTTTTTACCTATATTTTCTTACTATTCTATCTTATTACTATTCTTAACTCTATTCTATTTGGGCGTGCATTAATTGTATAAAAGAGAAAAAAAACCAACAGTCTGTGAACAAGTAATTTCTTTTATATAATAAATCTCGCAAAAGAACGAAGAAACAACAGGTGTAATAAATAATAATTATATCAGAAGTAATAACAGTATATTATAGAACATTTGCATACCAAATCGAGCATTGAATTTAAAAAAAAGAACAATTATTAAATGATCTAACTATTTCACCTATGTGTTATACGGTAACTCGCCATTTTTTTTATCTTTACTTTTACTTTGCAAACTATCTCTTTCCTAAAGCCTAGCGACTTATGCATTCTTCGCTTTCGCTTATTTCATTTATTGCATTTCTTATATCTCCCTCTAGTCCTACTTGCATTTCTATTTGTCCCTTTGTCGCATTGCATTCGTCCTCCCTTACGTGTTGTACACGCCCCTTTTGAAGAATAATAGTTCCGTCTCACATGGACCGGACGCGCTCGCAAATTTATCTAATTAAGTATTACTACATATCTATTAATTATCTCCTATTTTGCGATTATGATCTTACTGAATTATTATTATCCTTAATCCTTTATTCCTATCTATCTTATCTATATTTGACTAAACATGTGACTGCCGTCTTGTTGCGCTAATGGAATAATTGCAAAATAACATAACCGGTTGAATGAAAGGGACTAGAAAACCATGATTTTTAAACTGAAGACAATAAAATTCATTCGACGCTTCCTTTATCCATCTTTTCTACCGCGAAAACTAAATATCAATCATTAAGTACTAAACACAAGCAATTCAACAATAATTCAAAAAACAAATTAATAATAAAAACAGCATCAAAGTATTTTTTTAACAGTAACAACCATAAAAAAAACTATCAAATATAAAAATTAAATTTCTAATCCCATTTCACTATTGGCAGTATGAGCCGTATCGACCTTGATGTCAGTGGGCTCGACTGATTACAATTAAATCGGAGTGGCTAAGTCCGCTCTAATTGAAAATCACCAAAGACATCCTGATCAATTCAAATGCATATCGAAAATCGGTGTCACCAAGAGCTTTCGCACTGAATTATATACAAGCTATCCAGGCGGTGGTGATCGACCTAACAAAAATTTGCCACAATTCAAATCCCTGTAAGCCGTTGCTTTCGACGCATTCCCAAATAAATATTCGGCACCTCATATGCACGGAGGCGAATAACTCCGCAATTCTCAAAACTGCTCTAAATTTTGAGATAAAACAAATCATAATAAAAATACTCTAACGCAATAGCGCAAACAAAACTAAACAGAAAAAGAAATTCGCTCGTAATTTAAAAACAGCCACATGTATTCGAAAATTATTGTAAACCCCTGACTCAACAAAAAAAACATATCTATATACAAAGACATCTTCCCTAATTTTAAAATATTTTTTACACTACACTTAAAACTATCTACGCAACTCAAAAATCTAGTACTTAAACCAAAAAAAAAAGCTTTTAGCCTGGCGTTGACATACGTTAGGGACCATAAGTTCGCAACACGAGAACGATGTCTGGGCATTTTCGACCTCACATATACTTGCCCCACGCGTTGTGGCGTCTTAAAAACATAGGGATGAAATGTTTACACAAAAATGGCACTAAAAATTATCCCGCTGCGTCACTTAAATGTCTGTGACTTGAGATCGAATTCGAAGAGAAAATAACTTCGACGATATCTTACCCTTGCAATATGATATTTTAAAATAACTTTCTTTAAAATATTTACGACTATATATATAAAAAAAAATAAACTCTACTCACAAGAACGATTTCCATGAAACAACACTTAACTGTATAACATAACTTAATGTATCTGGCAATCATCATAAATTTTATGTATTAGTGTTTACGAAAATGATTATGAATAACACAATACACTAAACAATTTCAATAATGTTCGTATTAAACAAAAATTCTAAATCTGTATAGAACAATATTTTTCTATACACTAATTATAATAATTTCGAATTTAAAATTTATATTCTAATAATCTTAATTTAAAATGATGGTAATTATAATTAACCTAGGAAACACGTATCTAATAGTACACGAACAAAAGCCTTTCCCAAAAAATCGAAATAAAACAAACCGCGCGACTGAACAAAAAGAAACATTAACGAACAAAAATACAAATACAATAAATAGATTCAGCATTTCAAAATTATTATGAAACAACCTTTAAATTTTACAAATTAAATAGATTTTCAAAATCCACAAATCAAAATTCTAACAATTACTTGAACTACTTGATTATTCGTTTTTGCGCCAACCAATTTCGCAAATTACGTTTACATTAACCCTAACATACATAGAAAACCCCTTTGATCACACAACAACATTTCAATTTATATATACCGCTAAACATTATTTCAAATTGCACTATGTTTTCATAATTTTAAGTGTTCCAACAATCTTCTGTACACTCAACTATGATAACCAAGAGTTCAACAAATTTCATAAATACCAATTTAATAATAACGCGTAATCAAGAAATGCCGAATCTTCGCGAAAAAACAAATCGAAACCCGAAATTGATCAATAACAAAATAACAAAAAAAAATAAAACGAGGAAACTGTAAACTTACACGCAAGGAAAAATAAGCGCGAATGAACCAACAATAAAATTGTTTTACCGAGATCGTAATAATGCCGTCGATGGTGGATCAAATGATTACCAAAACAAATTAATACTTTCTAATCATTTGATCGTTAAACCAACGAAAAGCATACCCGTCGCTTCCACCATTTTGTCACGAATCCCTTTTTATTTATTGTAAAACCCTTTTATTTATTATTTACTACCCTTGATTCATGCCCTAATTTACTATTGTTGTTACATTCGCGGTCTTTCTACACCCTTACCGTGACGTCGCGATCCTGTAAGAAACTGATTACTTTAAAACTACTAATGAAAAGGCGTTTGTTCGTTACTTAATTAACAAACCTATATTTAAACATAACAATACCTTAATCTAAATCATTTCTTATTCTAACATGCAACTTAAACTAGACTTATCTTTAACCACGGCGCAACCAGTGTCCATCACATGTCCATACATCGGGCCCGATTCACATAAATCACTTAACCATCACCTTTAGGTAATTTCACTAAGTCTACTTTCTGTTTGGGGACAGTCTCCGAACGCTGTCCCCCCATGATGTCCTCTAATCTCACATTCAATACATTTTATTAACACTTTCGTGCGCTGGACCGCACGTTTGTCGACACTGAGGCCACGCCGGCAACTCCCAACCCCGACAACGACTACCTCAAGACTACGACTATATCTAGACTACTCAATGCAGACAACCACCCTCAGCCTGCGGACACATTCCTCATCAGGGACATGGATTACACGCATAGGGAGAGGGGTAGTAATGTGTTATTTTACATCCGTGTGCGGGTCCTCACCCACACATTCGTAACAATATGAATAAAAAAAATTAACATCAACCCTTTTTTTTTTTTTTTTTAAAAAAAAAATCTAATATTGTTGTAACATTTTGCTGCATATTGTGATTTTTAATAATTCAATAAAATTATTTTGATTTAGCTTCAGCAGTTTGTTTCATTTCAAAAGTAGGATTTTGATAATACAGCAAAATATTACAAACAATAATTAGTTACATTATTCTTATTGGATATAGTATGCAATCTAATTCGCATAGTTGCATAACTTGTGTGACTGCTTTAAAATGATTAGTAGACAAAAGCGAAGTTGTGACCTATTTGATTTATATACATCAATAAAACTTCTAAAAATTTCTGTGATAAAATTAATTATTTGATCCATTATCACTATCATTAATTGGTCTATTTGCATAAGAATATTAACAAGGTGCAAGATCTCTCTTTCTTTTCACAAATTTAATATTATAATAAATTGTTTAATTTTGTATGATAATTTATTTATTTGATTCGAATTTAAAATATGATCAAAATACTCTGTGTCAGATTCAGTTCAATATTTTTAATAGGATGTTTAAAAATCGCGCGATTATTTCTAACTGAATTCTAACTATATGAGAATCCTGCATCAATCTTCGAAAATTTAAAAAAAAATAGCTTGCACACATGTTGCCATTCTGATGCATTACATCTAGATTGAAATGGAAGATAGTGATAATTCGTCTTGTAATCTAAATTCGTCTTGTAATTATATTTTGTGTTGTCACATACTTCTACATTAATACATTTCTGTAGGCCCTCTTGATTTTAATTTTTATTTTCAAATTTTTATTTTGAACATTCTAACTATACAATATAAAATATTAAATTGAAATTATCATGTTTAGAATGTCAATATTAATAAAAAATTGAGTGGCCTTTCAATTTCTGAATATTTGATACAAATATATTATTATATATATTTTTTCTATATTTTGTTTCCATTTGAATTATTGATACTTCTCATCAAAATTACTTTTGTTATAAGTGAATAAATAATTAAAGCTTTGAACACTCGAAATTCGTAATTAGTTATTATCAAAAAAAAAATAAAAATGCAACTATAAAAACATTAATATTTCAAATAAAACAGATTACGATAAAATTATTCAAAAATCAAAAATAAATATTAAATTAATGAAATTTTAATTGAATAAAATATGTCGCCAATTAATACTTAAAAAATTAAATAATAATAAAATAAAATTTTGTAAAATACATCAAGATTCATAAAATTAACAAAGACATCATAAGCAAATTTGTATTGCGTGCCTTGTCAAGGTTTGAATCCGAATGTTACGTGATATTTCTTTACTCAAATTTCAAAATAGAAATATGATAGAGCTTGTTATGCTATTAACGCAAATAATCGAAATTAGTGTGGACAATAAAAATTTCAATTAGGAAAAATATTATTATTTTCAATTTACGCAAATAATAGAAAACAAATTTACTCAATCGCTTACTAATTTTTCAAAATGAAATTTATTATATTTGTAGAGGAAATTTAGGAAATATTTTTCGTTCAATATAGCACCAACAAATTGAATTGAAATTAAAATGAAATCATTTAGTATCAATAATTCAAACATGGACTTTTTCTATTTTCCTATTTTTTTTTTCAATTTATAATTCTGTTCTATGGGGATAGTTACATTGCTATTATTGACATTAATTAAATTTATCCCCTTCATTTCTGTAACATTTTGTGGTATGGGCAGTTGATTAAATTTAATTATTATTGAAATTTGCATATTCAAGTTCAATTATTTTCACACAAACTTCAAAGTTCATTTAATGTAATATTGAAGATTAAAATTTCATTCTTATGTAATATTTTAAAATTATTTCTAAATTCAACATTTAAATTAAATTCAACATTTGGAAATTATTCTCATGCAAGATTTAATAATATCGATAAAATCAACGAGCGTGTTTTGGTCCCAAAATGAAAATAACAAAATAAATTTATTTGAAAGATCCCGCGGATTCATGAGTCTCTTATAAGTCATCAAAATTACGTCAAATATATTTAAGATCTCGCGGTTTTCACTAACCTTATGAGTCTCCATTCGGGTTTTCCTACCCTTATTAATTATTTATTTGTCAGATACCTATTGTTTCTTTTGAACAATTTAATATTAGGCTATCTGATATGAAGGATTGGCACTATCGCCTGAAAAGTGGCACAATGGCTACACTAAATCCTTTAGGCATTTCGCCTTTATACTGGCATTTAAAGCCACATTAAAAATCGCGACGTTATAAAAGATCAACAGATGTAAATTTACTCTTGATAGGATACTCAAAGTCATTAACTAGAGTCACTAACTTTTCAATTTTACTTTTGAGTCTTTTATATTAACTTGATGACTTTGTAACTAATCTTTACAATTATTTTACTTTGAAATATTTCTGTTATGAAATTCGGACCTGGCAATGCTCGTAATTGTTTTTGTTAAAAAATGCTTAGTTAACAATATTTACTTGAACTTAACCTTGATGGTTACGTGAAGTCAACAAAATAATAGTGTGGTGTTAACAATAATCGAACTGCCCGTTGTTACAAAAAATGTTACCCAAGTACAACCAAAAATCCTAATACTTAAAAAATCAATTGATCAAAAATATTATTTGACAAAATATTATTATTATATTTTAATTGACAAACAAAATCTTAAAAAAAAAAAAATTGAAGACTATGATGTTCTGGTCTGGATGTGTAGTTTGCCAAAAGAAGGATTGGTTTTTCTTACTTGGGGTTACTTTGAAATATTCTGTTATGAAATTCGGACCTGGCAATGCTCGTAATTGTTTTTGTTAAAAAATGCTTAGTTAACAATATTTACTTGAACTTAACCTTGATGGTTACGTGAAGTCAACAAAATAATAGTGGTGTTAACAATAATCGAACTGCCCGTTGTTACAAAAATGTTACCCAAGTACAACCAAAAATCCTAATACTTAAAAAATCAATTTGATCAAAAATATTATTTGACAAAATATTATTATTTATATTTTAATTGACAAACAAAATCTTAAAAAAAAAAAATTGAAGACTATGATGTTCTGGTCTGGATGTGTAGTTTTGCCAAAAGAAGGATTGGTTTTTCTTACTTGGGGAGTGAGCCTTAATCGAGAAGTCTGCGTCGATTTGGGGAGAGTATGTCCTTGTCCCTCTGCGTAAAGTCGCCTTTCTCACGGTGTTATTTGGTATGCCGCCACCTTTAATGCCTCTGATACTTCGTGCCAGTCCTGATCCTGCTGGTTTTCAGCTGTTGCTGCAGCGCCGGATGCAAAATTTCTGCTACTCAGCTTCTTGCTCGACACTCACAGCACATTCAACACTGCACTTCACCACGAGGTAATCCCACCGCTGCCACCATGAAATGTTATGAGTTGTTGTTGTGGGGTTGATTGGATTGGATTGGGTTCCAAATATAGATTGATCCACTCTCCAATGGGGGTGCTAGATCAGTCCAACCTTGATCTGGTGTCGTGGGCAGAGCTTAGAGTTTATAATAGAAAATAACAACACTGGTATGAGTCTCCTCAGAACCGTGAGCACTTTATATTGGTATAGGCTGAAAGATGTCTTTACGCAAAGTAGAATACAAACACTGAATCTAATTTCGACTATAACTTTATTTAATCTTTAATAACTTCACATCACAAACTAGCATAGATTCGTGCTAAGACATACTCTAAGACATTATGGCTAGACTTTTGACTAAGACATCACTGGTTAATACAAATAATTCTGACTCTATATATTATACATTGTACGTGTCAATTCTAGGAATGGCGTCTTCCGCGTTCATGTAAAGATCTTGGACTTCGATCAACATTGAACAATGAATTCATATTTTGATCAAAAGCACGTGGATCGTGTTATTACAGAACAGTACCTAGTTCCGAAACGTTGACAGTAAACAAATAATTAAATAAAGAAATTGTTTATTAAAAACTTTCTGTTTTTTTATTTTGTATTATTTTTGGATTCTTGTTCGAAACTCTACAATATATATATATATAATATATATATATATATATTATATATATATTATATATATATATTGAATAGTCTTCAATTTGATGTTGATGTATATGTTTAATTTGAGTTAACATATTAGAGAAAAAAACATTTTTTTAGAAAAAATTATGAATAACTAAAAGATTAATTTGACTAATTTGACTAAAAGTAATAATAACTTTTTTACGAAAAATTGCTTAAAAAAGGTAAACAGATAGTTCCTTTGTATTGGGCGGAAGAGGAAGATATTGAATTTGAACAAGAAGGTGAAAATGAATTATTAGAATTCGTTTGTAAATAAATTATTCTATTATTAATGATGTTGTTACCCTTACCACTTGGACAATAGTTACCCTTCGCACTTGGTCAACAACATCATTAATAATAGATTAATTTATTTACAAACGAATTCTAATAATTCATTTTCACCTTCTTGTTCAAATTCAATAGCTTCCTCTTCCGCCCAATAGAAAGGAACTATCTGTTTACCTTTTTTAAGCAATTTTTCGTATTTTTTAAAAAAGTTATTTTCTTCAGAAGGATTCCGATTAGTTTTTAGTTTTGATAATACTTTTAATTGCCTTTTTTCGGTTTTTAAGTCTGGAACCCCGTCTGATAGGGTCACCGATTCTGTTTACAGGTTGGATTGCAATGATTGCAATATGTGTTATATTGGAGAAAGTTCCCAGTATATTTATAAGAGAGTTAATCAACATATTTATAATTCAAAAAATCCAAACCAATTCAAAACGATGTTTTCAGATCATATGCTCAATCTCAATCACACTTTTAACACTTCACATCCTGTTATTCTTTATATCGAAAAAAATAGTGACCTTAGAAAATTTGCTGAATCCTTTTTTATTTCATTAAATTCCTCCTCTTGTGTTAACAAACGCAATTCATCCCACCTTTTACATGATAGTTACCAGATAGTTATTGATTTTATTAAAAAAACAAAAAATTAATTTGCTTATTTCTTTTATATTATTTTTTACAATTTTGTTTTTTCTTTGTTCTAACTTTTACTTGGTTTGCTTTTTCCTTTTGATCAATTCCAGCTCAACCTCTGTGTTCGATGCGTTTTCGTGCCTCGTAGAATTTGTCCTTGATGCGTCCCCTCCCATTCCTATCAATACGCCTATTGAAATAATTCAGTCGAGTCTAGATGCTCGGTATGGGCGTGTTTCTCGCTTCACAATGATGCTTTTCATAACTTTTAGTCAAATTAGTTTTCAAATCTTTTAGTTATTCATAATTTTTTCTAAAAAATGTTTTTTTCTCTAATATGTTATTAAGTTTAATTTTTTAAAATAAATTTTTGTTGAGTGTTTTTGTCCTGTGGTGTGTATAATGTTTCTCTATGCTATAATTAATCTATATTGTTGTTTATATTAGTTAATAAAATTTTCAAATTGTTGTAGTTGCTGAATGATGACACGCATCTTGTGTCGAAACGTATAAATAAAAGTTTTTATACTTTATACCTTTTTTATTTCGACGAATGGGCTGCTAGTTACTTTGAAATATATATATATATATATATATATATATATATATATATATATATATATATATATAGATAGTCTACAAATATACTATTTCACAAACTGCAATAAAAGTATTTTATTAAAATAAAATTAAACTTACATTTTGATTATAGTCTAATGATGCTTTATCTGCGTCATCAGGTGTTTTGCAAACCAAGGTATTTCCAATAACATGATTAACTGCTCTATAAATAGTATTTTCATATTGCAGTACATCAATTAACAATCTTATATTCTCTTCTTCTCTATTTCTGCAATAAGAATATCCCAATAATACCAACTAAATTATTAGAATTCATTCACAGTTTGTTGTTCGTTTTCACATTACCTAAGGTTTTCAATAATACGTTTAGTTGAAATAGAGTCAAGCGGCAAAAATGTTTCAATACCTAGTTTTTCCATTTTCAACGTTGATATGCAACTTTTAGCGGTAGATTCTGTATCTACGACTATTGCAAACAAATATTTTCTTACCACTTTGGTTGCGGCAATATTATATCTTGCATGTATCGGCTGGCAAAGATCCAAAAATCGACCATACTATATAAAAAAATTAATATTCTTATTTATATGTTTATTTACTCACATATCAATATTATTTCAACAAATATAAATCAAATAAATTTCATGTAAATTATAAAAATATTTATGAAATTCTACTGTTGTTTCTCCAGTTCTTTTTTGATATGAACTTTAGATTTACATTTTATTTTAAACACCAATCAGAACAAAAAGTTCCGCAAGTCGTCGTGATGCTACTTCTTTTCAACGTTGTTTTTTTAAAGGCAATCTGAAATAATGTGTTTTATATTAAAAGGCAAATATTCATTCTAATTGTGATGATATCCGAGTCAAAAAGCAAGACCATATTTTGACTGTCAAATACACATTAGTTATTATTTAGAAATTTTGAACTCTTGTTTTTTCATTATTATTAAAACTGTTAGGGACAACTAGAATCTTACCAGATCTTAGGACCATACAAGCATAGTTTTAACACAATTTTTGATAAAGACAATAAACCTCATCTCAGATTAAGACATTAACATGGAACGCATGACATTAATCTTTCACTCAAATCTCATTTATTAATATTTATACAATTAATGATGAATGAAATAAAATTTATCACAAATGTTTTGATAATAACAAAATGAAACAAAAATAATACATTTTAATTATAAGAAGACTTAAATCCCTACATTGGTTTAGAGAAGTCATCAAATTAATTGTCTCTATCACCTATTTTGAATTTAACGGCACCCCAATGGGATCGCCTGCACTTCCCTCACTAGTAGAAATTTCCTTACAACTAATAGAAAACAAAATATTTAAAAATTATAATAAACAAATTTTTTATTTCCGCTATGTAGATGATATTATTACTTGTATTCCGGAAGAAGTCTTTAGCATCGTTACCGATAATTTCAACAATTTTAATAAAAAACTACAGTTTACTGTGGAATTAGAGATAATGATTTTGATTAGCTTTCTAAACATCAGACTAATACGTACAAATGACCACCGACTAATTACTAACTGGTACCAGAAATTAACTAGCTCCAGACGATATTTAAATTACCACTCATACCACCCTCTAAAATGAAAATAGCAACAATAATAAGTTTAACAGACCACGCCATACAACTATCTAATAAAAATTTCTGGGACACCAATATTGACCTGGTAATAAGCACACTAAAAAATAACTCTTACCCTACAAACATAATTAACTCTGTCATAAATAACAGACGCAACTACTTTCCAACAAACAAAACGACCTCACCGACCATATAAACCGTTTAAACTTAGAATCATATACTGATGTCATTTGTCAATCATATGTAAAAGATTTATATTTTTCGTGGAAAAAACTGTTTCAACAATGTGGCATTTTGTTCGTATGTAACTGCGATACAACACTTAGTTCGATTTAAAACAAATTTAATCTAAGTCTAATTCTGATCAGATTAATTGCTCTAATTGCGAACACTTTTATATCGGAGAAACCAGCCAAAATCTGAGTAAACGCCTTCATCAACATAAAAACAACTCAAAAAATCCGAAGCAATTCAAGACTATGTTAACCGAGCATATTAAAAATTTAAACCATAATTTAGATTTTTTCAACCCTAAAATTTTACATTTTGAAGAGAACGTAATCAAAAGAAGATTCGCTGAGGTGTGTTGCAATTGCATAACGACAGGGTCATAAACAAACGTTCGACAATACGTAATTATTTTTCTGTTACACAAATATTGATAAAGTTATGATTGTTTAAATTGTGCGCGGCTGTCCAACCAGAGTGTCTTTCGAGCCTTTTAATGCTTCACAATAAGAGAAGTTACTGTAAAATATATGATAGAAAAAGTTGTAGCTCATTTAATCATCTTTAATATAGTATATTACAAGTTCTGATAAAATCAGAATTAAGAGTTATAATCCAATTAATGCAGGGGTGTGTGAGGGAGTGGAAATTGTTTTCACTTCTGAACTTAAGATTAAGATTAGCACATTTCCAAAATATCAAGCAAATTGGAGAACAGTAAAAAAAATTTACAGGGCACACGCTTTTTTCCTCTGCATTAATTTTGTTGATTGTAGGTTGAATAGAGCACATGTGAACAGGATTTGACAAATTAAATCACTTCATATAAGTATGAACTTAAGTATTAATGTATATTGAATTATTAGCGAGAAAAATGTAATTTAGATATTAAAAATACTTTAGATATTAATAGTAGAAATATGGTACGAAATTATAAAAATTATAGGCAACATTATTGAAGCAATTAATTTGGGTAGAAAAATCCAAGGTGATATTGTACCTTTACCGCGCATGCTATATATTAATTCTTTCTGAATTTGTTATACTTCTTAAAATATTTCAATTTTCAACATGTGTATCTTGACAATATGACAACAAATACATCACAAAGGCAGACGATGATTTTTTGTGTGATAAATTTGGAAAATCAATATTTTGGTCGTGAATAAACAAAAAATCATTCATTTATACATCAACATCTACAGGTATGAGTAAACACCTTGTATAACCCTTAGATGCATTAAAATAAATTGAGCTATTGGAAATAAATTTGTTCTATAAATCGCACAGTATAATTTTTAATATAAAATTTTATTGAACATATTTTGATCTTTGTTAAAGGGATAATTAAAGTGTTAACTGTGGGAATTGAGAATAATCTTTAATTTTTTTAATAATAAGAAAGAATAATCTTTTATACTAATAATAAGAAAATGAAAATATCTACACTAATTTATATTCTTCAACTTTTATATCCATTAACATTTCGCTTTGCTTGGTAGCAAATTTCACAACATTCTCGTTGCATTCATAAAATCTAGATTGAATAAGAACATTTTACTTGAAAAATAACTTATTTGTCATAAATATTTAAATTTGTTCAGTAATCGCTTGGCTCTAGCTTTTAAACTTACCACCCCTTCATGTAGTTCCTTAAGTCTTGTTAAAACACTCTGCCTTCGTTTTTCTTCAAAATAATCTTCTTTACTGCATCGAGCTTCTTGCAGTCTGCACTTATTTTCTTCAATTTCATTTAATAAGATATTTTGACGTTCTTGCAGCCTTCCAATTTGGTCACTTCTTTGTTGTATTTCAGTTAATTCTAAATTCATCGATCTGAAAATGAAGAAAAACTTGAATACATTACCTTTTTATTATACAATAATTTGACGACCAGTCGTCTTTTGAATCGCGAGAAATTTGAAAATAATATTTGTTAATTTATCAAGACTTTTCATCTATATGTGAGAAACAATATTTATACTATTATACTATTCTAATTTATACTATTTACACTATTCTAATATATAGAATATAGATAATATTTTTTACGATGCAAAATAAAACGTGGTGTATGGCATCGTGCCTTAAGGCATATTGCTGTAACTTCCCGTACTGCGATAAAATATTCGAAGAATATTAATTTTGTTCAAAATTTTCTTATATTTCGATTTTTTTTTCTTTCCCGAAAAACGACCGTTTTGCCAACACAGAAGAAAGTTTTTTGAATAATTCAAATCGGATGCCAAAATGTTCAGAAATATTTAAAATGTTCGATTTTTGGACGATTACAATAACTTACACTTTGAAAAGTTAAATATAGGCATGACTCAGGTGAAAAGTTTGTATTTGTTTCCTAAACGCTTATTTTATGTTATCCCCGTCCGTGAATCAATTTACATATTAATTACAATTTCATGGTTAGTTATGAACTTTGTTCAAAAATCAAAATATCGAAAAAGTCGTTTTTTTGCATAAATTAAAAAAAAACAAAATTCTCAAACAAATCTAATTTACAGAGAAATTACAGCAACATGCCTTAAGCAATAAGGTCCTGCATAACTAGTTTTTATTTAGAAAAAATATTTATGAAAATACTTATACGACATTATTGAAGTCAATATTTTAAGTGGCAAAATGATGTTGTTGGATACCAATACCAATATTCTTTCAGTTATACCATTCGAACTCATACAACTTAAGCAATGACCACGAATAAGTCACATATAAGGGCTAAAAATGACCGTTATAATATAATCTAGAAAAATCCATGGCCTTTTGTAATTAAATTGATGTCATAAATAATAGTGGACCTTTACGCCGCCATTTGTTATATTTTTCAATTATATAAATGTGCGCAAGCCAAGATGGATGAAGTCATGGCAAAGGATGTTCCTGTCAAAATAGTGCCAGGTGATGTATAGGCAAGTTGTGATTAATAGGGCGTTTACTTACAGAGTTGGCACACAGATTATACCGAGGAGAATCGTAAATTAAAATTCATGTATAATAAGGATTACCCGAAATGAATGATAAAGAACTGGACAACCAGGATGGTGTTTGTATTAATAAACGCACCATTTTACTTCTCCAAATTAATGACCAGAGCATTGGGCAGATTGTGAAATAAGATTTTAATAAATTATTATATATTAATAAATTAGTATAATAAGGATTACCCGAAATGAATGATAAAGTACTGGACAACCAGGATGGTGTTTGTATTAATAAACGCACCGTTTTACTTCTCCAAATTAATGACCAGAGCATTGGGCAGATTGTGAAATAAGATTTTAATAAATTATTTATATGACATTCTTATTCCAGACAAAAACTGGAATGATCTCAAATACCAACTTGCAGTAGTTTGAAAGCCCTTAAAAATTAGGACTTACAATAAAGCTTTCGAAATGTGAGTTCCTGAAGGAGAAAGTGAGGTGAAACGGATATCTCTGGCGACGGTATAGAACCAGGTTCACGGAAGGTTAAAGCCATTGAGGAATTTTCAGCACCCAAGGAAATGCATGATGTAAGAAGTTTCATAGGGCTAGCGAGCTTCTTTCGTCGATTTGTGCCATGCTTTGCAGACGGGAGCAGATTGTTGACGGCCCTACTCAAAACTGATGTGAAGTTGAGCAAACCATGGTCATCACAAAGTATTGAATGACATGAAGCATGCATTAACAAGCAGGCCACTGTTCAAGATTTGCTTGCCTGCTTGTTAATGCATGCTTCATGTCATTCAATACTGTATGTAACTTGAGTTACATACAGATGCAAGTTCCTTGGGATTGGCAGACATGCTTTCACAGAGCGGAGATGATCTGCCTTTCTGAAAACTAATCATTTATACGCAACCTCAAAAGCCGTCATGTTTTTTAACTTTCCATAAGGTAAGCTATTGTAATCTTCCAAAAATCGAAACTAAAAACTTTTGCATATTTTTACGTCTCAGAAATTTCAAATCATTTCAGCATAACTCAGAAAAATGTATGTGTGTGTGTATGTACGTTTGTGTGGATTTTCGCCGAAGTTTTCAGGGGCACCGCTTAACCAATTTAAATGATTCAAAAAGCATTCGATTCCTACTTATAGGGATTAGCGCTGATTAGTTTTTTGGTCGGTCCAGCCGTTTCCGAAATACGAAACAAAAAGTGCAGAATTCTATTACCTTACCATTCGTCTACGACTCAAGTGATAAGAAAGTATGTTGCAAGCTATCTATACCCATGATTCATAAAATTTCAAAATTTTGGACAGACTTGAATATTTACACACAGCGTTTTTACACACAAATACATGCGCAGCCGCATAATGAGGGCCTGTCATCGCTACTGTCTGTTGATACTCCTTCATAATGCAATCCCAGTTTGCGGAATTAAAAGCATTTCTGATATCTAATGAAGCTACAAGACAGTACTTCTTTGCACCGCCATTCCATAAAATTCGAGCCTTTAAACTCGAGCAATGAAAAATACAAACTGTATTTTTCATTGCTCGAATTTTATAAACTCGAATACTGTATTATACAGTATTTATAAATTTCAATCTACTTGAAAATATTTAAATTCCCTAGAATACGTCATTCCATTACGGCAAGTTCCAGCAATTTGCCTTAAGGTCATGCATCACTAGTCGAATGAATTTAATCGGACAAACTGCATAACAATTGTTTGCAACCTTTGCGTTCCGTGTAAAAGACATTTTTTGATCCGATTGATTCATGTGAAAGAGATTTTTTAACCATATAGAACTATATATAAATATAGATAACAATATATAAATAGATGCAATATTTCAATATATGTATATTGGAAATATCTAATTTATTTAATCAAATATATAGTACGGCAATGTTTCTAGTGTGCCAGTAGCATTAAACTTACTGTATTTGCCTTTCATATTTTTCAGAATCCATTTTTACTATTTTAGCTTCAAGCGCCACTTTTTGATTTTGTAAGGTTTGCTTTTCCATCATCAATCTGTTTAAGTTATCTTCCCTCTGTTTGATTGCACGATCAATATTGATTTGCTCGCATGTTAGCAATGCTGTTTTCTTATCGCTTTCATTTTTGATATTATAATAATCTCGAAGCTGAAAAATTAAAGAAGTGATGTTTTCATTTTCGCTAAACATGTGAAATACGTATTTCACACACACACACACACACACACACACACACACACACATATATATATATATATATATATATATATATACTTATATATATATATAAGTATACATGTATATTAATGTATATATATATATATATATATATACAGGGCCGGTCCTGGGGTTCTCAGCGCCCGCATGCAAGATTTGTTTTAGCGCCCCCCCCCCAATAATTTTAACTGTTTTAACAGTTTTTCGTTAAAATTATACAAACATTTACGTTAATTTTTTAGTCATTCTGGATTTAGTACACAAAAAAAATGGATAAAATCTAAAAGCGTATAAAATACATTGATTTAAATTTGTTTAGAAAATCGAGGCAATTCGCGGGTTGATCATAATCAAATATTTTTAAATTCTCAATTATTTCTAATATATGTGTAATATTAATATTTGGGTTTTGAAACATTTAACTTATTTATTATGCGATTTATTCTATAGAACAAATCACGCCAAAAGAGCAAAAAAACTAGTATTTGATTTTTAAACATAACACTCGCATTTCATGGTTTAATTTAAATTAAATTTTCACTATTTACAATATCCAAAATTTATTCGTAAACTTCTCCTTATTGGTATCGTAAGGGCCGAATTGTATTCAGCTTTATTTCCCCATCAGATACAGAGTATTGTTGTTTTAAAGTTAAACTTTTAAATTATTTTTTAAAGTGTCCAAAGATTAGTAAAAGATGCAAAGAAATTACTTATTCCCTTAACTAAACGGGAACAAACAAATTATAATTGTATCTGTATTATTTATGCATAGTTAATAATTGAATTTTGTATAGAAAAAGTTTAAAGATTTTTTTTCCTATACATTTTGCTTCCATTTTTAATATTCGCTCCATAAACTATGCTCCATTTAATATAATTTTTTGCACATTTAGCTCTGTATCTGCAAAATGACTGGACCTCCTTTACTAATAACTAATCACCTCTTCTCTCAAAAACTCGATTTGTATTTTCTGCACTCTTTGATCTGTATGTCCGTAACGGCTGGACCTGCCTTTTAAACCATTCAAATCGGTTTATCCGTGCGCCCGAAAACGTGGACGAAAAACTGCGGACATTCAAAACACACACACACACATCCAATTTTTTTTCTGAGGTATTCCAAAATGTTCAGAAACATTCAAAACGTCGAGAAATGCAAAAATTTTCATTTTCGATTTTCGGGAAGTTAAGAAAAAAATAATAATAATTATGAAATTTCTCCCGAAGGAGAAGTTTGTTTTCATCTAAAAATCCGATTCGCTAATTTTATGTCTTCTCGACGTTTCAAGCCATTCTGAATCGAATGAGACCAAATTTGGAAAAAGTATGTGTGTGTGTATATATGAACAGATTTTTTGCCGTAAAACGACATTTCCCCAAAAATGTCCGGACCGATTTCAAAAATTAACTAGATGTAAGTGGAATTCTGTCTTGAGGCAATTATGGCATCGTGCCTTAAGGCAAATTGCTGAAACTTCCCGTACCGTAACGAAATGTTCGAGGAATATTGAATGTTTTCAAATAGATTATTATAAATATTGTAACATTGTCTAATATTTATAAGAATTATATAAACTGAATTGCAGAGTTGAAATTATTTGTAAAGTATATTAGAACTATAGTCAGAATTAAAAATAAAATCTGAAATATTTCGATATACAAAAAACTACAAAAAAAAAAAAAAAATGGAACAAAATTTTTTTTCCCAAAATCAATTATTTTGTTAAGACAAGCAGAAAGTTCTTTGAATCATTTAAATCGGACGCTTAGTTCTCTCAAAAATTGCCATTTTTTACATATTTAGCTCCATATCTTCAAAATGGCTGGGCCTACCTTTGCCAAAAACTAATAAACACTTCTCCCAATCATTACTAATTGAATGTTTTTTAGATCATTCCAATCGGATACTCCGTTCTCTCAAAAATTCGATTTCTATTTTCTGCACTCTTTGCTCCGTATTTCCGAAACGGCTGGACCTGCCTTTGCCAAAAACTAATCAGCTCTTTTCCCTATCAATAGGAATCGAATGTTTTTTGAACCATTCAAATCGGTTGATCCGTGCGCCCTAAAACGTGACTGGAAATTTGTATCCATACATACATACACACACACACACACATCCATTTTTTCTGAGGTATGCCAAAACGTTCAGAAACCTTCAAAACGTCGAGAAATGTAAAAATTTTCAATTCCGATTTTCGGCCCATTACAATAACTTACCCTACGGGAAGTTAAAAAGCCCCATTCGATGTATCTCGATGAGTACTAGCGTTTCAGTTTTGTGCGACGATCGACCGAACCGTTTCTTTGTAAATCGCAGAAAAGTGAAAAAATTTTCGTTCACGTTTTAGCCCGCAATTCTGAATCGATTTTGAATTTTAAAAAACTATTCCAAAGATATTGGTTGGGAATCGTGTTGATTAGTTTTTGGTAAAGATCGACCGGGCCGTTATCGTACTACGTTTTGGTTGAGTAAACATAAAAATTGGGTAGTAGGCTTTTGTGGCAAAAACATAAACTTCTTCATCGCCAAGTTAAATATAACACGCGGCTAACGAATCAAATTACTGAGCACAAACTTCAAATGAGATAAAAAGTTTTTATGTATTTAAACAATGATATTAGTAATTTTAAAACAAATTTTAGTTATCAAACCTGGGATTCCTCCAGACTAATAATAGTAGAAGTGGATAATTCAGAATCTGTGATTTCTGACAGAAATAAGTTATAATTTCTCTCGACATTTTGGATTGAATGTTCATATGCGTTCTTCTCCTCGACAGCTTTTGCCAGATTTTTTTCGGCAGAATCAAGCTGTTTCCGCAATCCTATTATTTCCTCCTGGGCCTGAACGTACGGATCTCTTTGTTTAGCGATATCAGCATACTGAAAACAATACTCGTCAATGAATAGCCACTAGAGGACAGATAAAGGATAATAGCTACCCTAGTTGATTACCGTTTTCAAGTTTCTTTGTTCTATTTCCCACAATTCTCTGTTAAGCTGTTTCAATTCTCTGCGCAAAGTATCAGTACTTTCAAAAATTGTCTGCTTCTTACTTTCAATTGTGTCCACATGTACTAAATGCTCTGTTAATTTGCATTCTAATTTGGCAATGCTTTCCTTCAAAACATACAATTCATAAACTTTTAGTGTAGTTTGTCTATATTCCTGAAATCAATCAATTCGATTTGTATTAAAAAAATATAATGTGAGGGCGTGTTTTGTTTTCACCGAGGAAGAGTCATTGGTATTTGAAAAGTATTGGTATGGATCGATTAAATTTATTTTAAGTAACATCTTTAGTTTTCTTTTATGTATTATTTGAATGGGTGCTTGTTAAGAAGTATTTTGTTTAATCAACACATTTATCACCCTCTGAAAAATTATATATATATATATGTATATATATCTATATATATATATATATATATATATATATATATATGTATATATATCTATATATATATATATATATATATTAGGGTGGTCCTTAAATAGGTCATTTTCGAATTTCCTTGCTCCCAGGGGATCAAATGGTTCCAAATTGATAAAAAACAATTCTCTGAAAGTTTTAGCTCTTATTATTAACGTTTAGATGGAGCGCACATCAATCAAAGTTTGTATGGAAAGAGCATGGAAAAAATTTTGAAAATTAAAAAAAAATGTTTTAGGTATAATGGAAATATTTCTTCACAAAAACGATGTTAGTAAAAAAATAAAAAGTAAAATTTACTACGACAAAAAATAATTTTTACCATCACGCTTTGAAGAAGCACGACTTACTAAGTCAAATAATAAGAATGAAAAATTGAAGTAGATTGTTTGCAGAATCAATTCTTATAAAAACGATTCCAGATACAATAAAATTAAAATCAGACACGAAAAAATTACATGATTATTACAATTGATTATATAATAAATTTATCAAGCAAGTTTGAAGTCTAATTTAGATTCTGTAATGATATAATTATACGTGCAGCTTAGACAAACAATCAAAGTTCATATAATAGCCGGACGCGGAAGCTCGCTTTTCTAAAGACATGTCACGTCCCAAATTGTGCCAGTTTGTTAAGAAAAGCTAGAGATAGATATTAAATAAAGTGTAAAAGTTAATTCAAGTTAATTGTTATATAATAAATTTAATATATATCCAATAGTTGGAATGGAGTAGCGTCATAATATGCCGGGTACAAGCATTTTGCCAATGCAGGTCACAATTTCCATCCGAAACAAAAAAAATGATAAATATATATTTTCAATAGTATAGATTCTAGTTGAACCTAAAAAAGACAAAAAAAAATTAAAAATTCACCAGTTTTTTGCAACTAGATTGTTAAAAAAGTTATAATTAACCCACTTTTTTAAGTTTTTTTAGGTTCGACTAGAATAAAATTTAATCCTGTAAACAATAATTTTGCTTCGTTTCGCTAGGACGTTTAGTTTTTTTTCTATCTTTCCCGCCAATTAGAAAGAATCGAAAAAATTAAAAGCCGGGAAATCGCGCGTCGAAGTTTTTTTTATGCTCGTATACGTGCTTGACGCTTGCACACTATTTCTTCTGTAATTCCGAAAATAATTCGAATTTATTTCTGAAATTTGAGAGATATATTCTTGGCTAGTTTGCAAGAAAAAAATCGATTTTTTTTGAACCTCAAAAGTTCGTTGTGAATATCAACTCTTATCATTACGCTAAAATCCGAGACGAGTAAATCTGACTTTCTTGTAGTGACGAAGTAACATTTTTGCAGTACAGTAAAAGTTTGCAGACTAAGCAAGCGATGATAATTAAAAATTAGTTCAAACAAACGCACTAACAGAAAACTCAAAACAAACAATTGTCTTAACATTTTATTGCATTGACAAAAAATGAATTAGCATTATTCCTTGCAGACAATATTCTTCAAAAAATGTTAGAAAGAACAATCGGCAATACTTACAATTTCTTTCTGCAGCACAGTTAATTTGCCAGCCTCCTTTTTTAGCGCCTTGCAGTTCCGTATTTCACGTAAAATTTTATTCTGGTCTTTATGAATAGATGCTATCTTCCCTTCAAGCCTGATTTTCTCATTGGTTAGCCTCTCATAATCATCTTTCAATTTGTATGACCTAAATATTATCATTGGTGAGCTATTACCAGTATGAGAACAAAATGTGTATTATCATTCAGCAGAAAAAAATACACTAAACTAGTGGTGCATGTCATCGTGCCTTACGGCAAATTGCTGGAACTTCCCGTACCAGAATTAAATTTTTGAGAATAAAAATTTAGTAATCAATAAACATTGATCAATGATTAATAACAATTGTTTTAAACATTTTCAAATAGATAATTATTGTTCATAAAATATACAGTGTCGATCTTATCGCTCAAAACACTTAAGAATGTTTACATTAGCAAGAGGTGGCAATAATATATCTGAGGATATATTTCTAACGATTAGAATAACACATTTGAAACATATACATTTTCAAACTGGATTGTAAATTTAAAATTGATATTTATTTTATTTTATTTGACTTCGTTATATCACATTTGGTCATATACAAACATAATGATATGCAAGTGCATTAGAAATAAATTTATAACATTTTATTACTAAATTAAAATTATATAACTAATTTAGATTTTAAAATAAATTCATATAATATTTTATAATTTCTTTCATTTCTTATTATGCAATTCCATGAAATTGGTTTTATTATACTTTTGTCGTCATAATATTTGTCCAGCAATTCTTCTCGTTGTTTTATAAATCTGTTACATTTAGTTATAATATGTTTTATAGTTCCGTCTTCATCTTCACATTCACAGATGGCTGAAGATTTATTACCAATTTTATTTAAGTGACTTGGAAAATTGCCAAGGTTTAATATGATTCTACTTAACGTAGTTATAAATTTTCTATCTTCATTTTTAAGATTATACCAAGTTTTTTTTTCTAATTTTATTCTCTATTGTCTTATATGTTTTTCCCTTCACCGTGTCATCGCAATTTTTTTGCTCTATTCCATTATGGCCCCTGATGCACGTAATTTTTATCTCATTTCCTGTCAATTTTATATTTTATATTTATACTCAATTCGAATTTCTGTATAAATCGCATCTTCAAGAAGATTTTTATTGTTTTTTACTTACTATACTTATTATTTTTTCTACACAATTTTTGCAATCGGTATATACAATTGCTCTTCTTATGCTCAAGTTTTTAATTTATTTCACCGCTTCTCCTATAGCTACTTATTCTGCAGTATATACTGAGACAAAATTTGGTAGTTTTATCAATTTTTGAAAATCTTTCTTCTCATGAATCATGGCACACCCTACTTCATTATTTACTTTAGCGCCATCTGTGTAGACTTCCTCATATCCTCTACTGTTTATAATATTTGTCTCTTCATTATTAGTATTGACAAAAAATTGTTTACCTTCATCAAACCATAATTTTTTAAGATTAACATGGTTTTCGAAGGCAGGTCTAGCGGTTCCGAAGATATGGGACAAAAAGTGCCAAAAACGGTAACTTTTTTTAAGAGAAACGGTAACGTTTTTAAGAGAACGGAGCGTCCGATTTGAATAATTCAAAAAACATTTTATTTGTATTAAGGGGTTACATGGGTTTCACGGTTTCCAAAAATCAAAAATTTTTTTGTCTTATTAAATTCTATAACATCTCTAGAATATTGTCCTAAATTTTTAAGTCGATCCGACTAATAGTTTCGGAGATGCAGACTTGAAAAGGTGGACGCTTGAGGTCCACATTTATTGTCTCTTAAAACTTTAAACGCGGTTATCTCAAAACTGTGTTTTCAAAGACGATTGTCAAGATTTCTTAGGAACTACTCAACTGATTTCGATGAAATTTTACACAGGTCTTCGAGATATCGTTTACAAGTTATTAAACGAAGGATTTTTTGTTTAATTACAACTATTCAAAAAAAAAAGTATGTCGAGAAATTTTCATCTAAATTTGCATTTTTTTTATAAAAACATTTGCCAAAAATCTAATTTTCATTTTTTTCTTTTTTTCTTCGTCCAATACCTAGTTTAATGTCTTTACTAAAACACGTATTTTTTATTTTTATTTGGGATGATCCTGAAAGAAGTTCTGCTGACAACGCGGAGGCACCTTTTTTCCGAGGGACTGCCGGAAATGGCGTCGTAATAACCGTCAATGTGATTATTTTTTTTTTTGAAAATTTTACACAATGTTTATTAAATATGTATCTTTCAAATAAAAAAAAATCATTAAAATATTTCATTTTTTATATGTAAAAAACATAATTGAGAAATGAAAAGTAAAAAGAAACTTTCTTTTTTCTTTTTACTTTTCATTTCTCTTGTTTATCTATCTGTTAAGTATAATTGTTATTGTTATAATTATATTACTTATATCTATAGTTCTTTTTCCAATTTCTGTCATTTTTTCCTAGTTTATATTAATTTTTCAATATTCATTCTGTAGATCCACTGATGATGACATAAAATACTATGTCGAAACGTTTGGAAAAATTAAAGATTAACTTCTAAATCTTTGCCTTTTATTTGAGTATGCCCTTGAAGAACTTACTCATATTTCTCAACATCAAAACTAACTACTTTAACATATATATACATATATATGATATTCAGTTTTCAGGGCAATACATCAATTGAAAAATGTACTTAACGGCGTGATGTACTTAACAAATTCACAAAAATTTCATTCAAAAATTATATATTGTTCAATTTAAAATGACAAGGATTGGTTTTTTGGTGCATTGTGAACATTTTTAATATGAAATAATTAGGATTGTGCATTGTGAACATTTATATTATGAAATAATTAGGATTAATTCAATTACATGTAAGTTCATACCATATCACTTCTTATATATTAGTTTTATTTAATAATTTCTATCTGTTCTTTCAATCTAGAGTCCACTGAAGATGACACAAAACAATGTGTCGAAACGTATGGAAAAAATAAAAATGTTTTAAAGTCATACAAATTTTTCAATTGATGTATTGCCCTGAAAACTGAATATCACATATTTCAACATCAAAATTATAAAAAATTTAATATATATATATATATATATATATATATATATGTTAAATTTTTATAATTTTGATGTTGAGATACGTGAGATTCAGTCTTCAGGGCAATACATCAATTAAAAACTTGTATGACTTTAAAACATTTTTATTTTTTCCATACGTTTCGACACATTGTTTTGTGTCATCTTCAGTGGACTCTAGTTTGAAGACACAGATAGAAATTATTAATTAAAACTAATAATAAATAAGAAAGTGATATGGTATGAACTTATATGTAATTGTAATAATCCTAATTATTTCTTAATTATAATTGCTCACAATGCGCAATAAAACCAATTCTTGTCACTTTAAATTGAACAATATATAAATTTTAGAATGAGTTTTTTATGAAATTGTAAAGTACATCCCGCTGTTCCGTATTCCGATGCAAGAGAGAAGCCTAAATGTACACCAATGTGCGCACCACGTGTTAAAAGTTAGGTACTTTCATTAACTTCCCGTAGGGTAAAATTTTTGCATTTCTCGACGTTTTGAAGGTTTCTGAACATTTTGGCATACCACAGAAAAAATTTATGTGTGTGCGTGTGTTTTATGTGTCCGCATTTTTTCGTTCACGTTTTTGGGCACACGGATCAACCGATTTGAATGGTTCAAAAAACATTCGATTCCTAATGATAGGCAGATGTGCTGATTAGTTTTTGGCAAAGGCAAGTCCAGCAGTTACGAAGATAAAGAGCAAAGAGTGCAGAAAATAAAAATCGAGTTTTTGAGAGAGCATCCGATTTGAATGATCTAAAAAACATTCATTTAGTAATGATTGAAAGAAGTGGTTATTAGTTTTTGGTAAAGGCAGCCCCAGCCATTTCGAAGATACAGAGCTAAATATGCAAAAAATGGCAGTTTTTGAGAGAACTAAGCATCCGATTTAAATGATTCAAAGAACTTTCTGCTTGTTTTAACAAAATAATTGATTTTAGAAAAAAATGTTTCAACATTTTTTTAAAAATTTTTTTTCAATAAAATTTTTTTTTGTATATCGAAAATGATTCAGATTTTATTTTTAATTCTGACTAAAGTTCTAATATATTTTAAACACATAATTTCAACTTTGCAATTCAGTTTATATAATTCTTATAAATATTAGACAATTTACAGTATTTATTTATAACTAGCTGACCCAGCAAACGTTGTTTTGCTAAATAAGGTATATTCTAAACCTTTTCTAGAGAATCAAAAATATTGATACTTTAAGTGCATAAGGATGTGTTGTTTGAATGATGTATACAATTAGGTATTATAAAAACAATAAACCCCATTAGTTTGTCTATATTTTGTCAATACAATCAAACTGCAAGTTTTATACACTTTCTATAGAAAACATCGTATAATCCAATCCGAGTCTTTTTGGTCTTTCGGCTTATTAATTACGTTTTAAGTTTTTCAGATTCTTTTTGGATTCTGGATTTTGTGTATAATTGTAAATAATACTGAGCTTATACAAAATTTTCAAATTTTTGCGAGGAGAGATAAAAAATGAATTAAGTATTTCTTCTTTGACCTGCTTTTTAAAAGTTTCAAGTTACATTCGATGAATTAAAGTATATTTAATAAAAAGTATATATGTAGAGCAGGGCGAGATACAAAGGTCCAATTTGACTTTGAGCTATAAACTATATTGTGAAAACCATAACAATTATATCACAACAAATAAGACATATCAAACGAACAATTATCTGATTAATTCTACTTAATCATTGTAGAAATGTGCTTTTTTGATGTGTTCCAAAAATTTGTTATCTAGACTTTTTTATCCTATATGCGGGGTAACTTGTAACGGGCAGGTGGCAAAAGGTTTAAAGCCCTATTATAATTTTAAAGGTATTTTACAAAATAATTACATTTTTAACTAATGCTAAAACTAATAACGGAAGAAAATACTCTTATTATGGATTTTCAAAGGTTACCGTTTATCTCCCTCATTTCAAAGATTATCGTTTTCAAATCAAGTTTGTAGCTGATTATATATCTTTTTTCCTCTACTTTCAAATATTATTGTTAAACTATGCCTAACTTTACTGGTTTTTGACACATCGCTGGTGGACCTTTTTAACCCCGGACCTTCATATATTACTATCTATTCTTCGATAAATTCTGGGAAATTATAACTGGGAAAATGTTATTCGGCAAAATGTCCATTTGATCGATACCAAATTTAGGTTCTGAATTTAAAAACATAAATAAAAAATAATATAACCTAGAAAATGTTTTATAAATACCAATGAGTATATAATTATACAAATGAGATCAATCCGAGCACCGTGTTTGAGAAAAATATGCCAAAAAGTGCATTTTTATATTAACATTTCAAAAAAGTTGATATTTAGTTTCTAGTAACACTTGCGGCCCGTTTACTAACGTTTTTATATATAAATAAAACGACAAACAAAACTACTTGCCACAATTTAATCATAATTAAATAATATTCACGTAAAACATCCTATTAATGTAATTGAACATCATCTGTCAAAATCGATTGGCATTTTACGTGTTAGCCACCGTCCATTGTTTTATGTAAATTACGCTTCTACAAAAATTTTCAAATTCAAAATGTAAAGTTTCTACGCGGATTTGAAATAATTTCTCACCCTTTGGACCTTCTCTGGATTGGCACGAATTTTTTGAGACTAAGACTGGCCAAATCGATTCAGCCGTTTTCGAGTTTTACTCGGACATTTGAAAGAGCGCTCCATTTTTATATATAAGATAATCTATTTAAAAATATTCAATATTCCTCGAACATTTCGTTACAGTGTGGGAAGTTCCAGCTATTTGCCTTAAGGCATGCCATACACCCCACTAGTTTCATTTTATATTTAAAACTGAATAATATATAGTGTTCATTATATTCCAAATTGTCTGGATATAAGTATTAGGTTGTAAAATATCTCCCTTCCGCTTTTTTGCTCTTGGTTTATAATACAAAAAGGCGGAAGGGAGATATTTGACAATCTAATATGTTTATGACAATATTACTCGCTATTATTTTATTATTATTTGTTACAATTTTACAAACTGTTACAATTTAAAAACTCGTCTTTGTGTATCAAAACTTTGGAAAATTTTATGATGAAATCAATTACTAGAATTATTTATATGAGTACAATGTAGTAATGAAAAGTGGCTTACCCGCATAAAACATCCAATTTTGAAGTAAGATCATTTTTATGCATATTTGCTATGTGTTCTACTTCCCCTTGGTGAACGATGAAATTCTCAACTTTGGCAAAAATGCCAATTTTTTCCAAGTTATCGACATACTTAGCGTAAGTCACAACCTACAGAAAATTTTTATGTAAGTCAACTAAACATGTAAGTCTAATAATATCTATATTTACTTTGAAATAGTGTTAATTGTCGTACCAAATTATAAGTGTTTATTTTTCTATCATGATTATTTTTCTTAAATTTTGTTTTACATATTATTTACTTATTGTTAGTTTTAATCAATATAGTTATATTGAATGCCACTGAATGAAGGTTAAGATGTCAGCCAAAGCGTGTGGATTTCAAATAAATTCCTAAGCACTTGCATGCAATTTCTTTAGGTGAGAAGAAGTTTATGTTTTCGCGACAAAATTTGATTCATACTGTTTTCTCGACGGTTCAAGTCACTCTGAAACGAATGAGACCAAATTCGGAAAAAGTATGTGTGTGTATGTATAGCTATGTGTGTGAACCGATTTTTAACTTTCGGCCAAATTTTTCTCAAAAACGGCTAAACTGATTTCGAAAATTTAAAGCCATTCGACGTATCTCGATGAGCACGAGCATTCATCAGTTTTGCGCGACGATCGGCCGACCAGTTTCTATGTAATAAGCAAAAAAAAATCTAAAATTTTCATGTTTTAGTCCTCAATTCTTAATCGATTTTAGAAATTCAAGTCTGAAAGATATTGTTTGGGAATCGTGCTAATTAGTTTACGGTAAACATCGGCCGGGCCGTTTTCTTGTAATTAATTGTAGAAAAAAAACACATTTTTTATGAAACTTTATTTGGAGTCGTTTAATTTTAAAATTTCATCAGATGAGATTTTTAACGTTTTTTAAAGTTAGACATTTCATCGACGTTTTCTAAAAAAATGCTGAAACGATTTCAATGTTTCAAAAACCTTTCAATGAAACTCGATAAGGGCTATCCTCTCTTAAATTTGTGCGACCATCGATGGAGCCGTTTCTTTGTAATTAGCAAAAAAAAGTGAAAAAAAAACATACTCACGTTTTAACCAAATATTCTGAATCGATTTTAAAACTTCAAAAATTATTCGAAAGATGTTATTTGAGAATAGTGCTGATTCACTATTGTGAATACTCTTGAACAAAAATCTGCCGAGTCGTTTCATAGTAATTAAACGTTAAAAAAATTGCAATGAATCTTCTTACGTTGATCAAAGTTCGGAAAAATATAATTCAAAATTTGTGCCATTATCGCTTTTGTGATATGACAAGTCAAAATTTGAATTACATAAATTTAAAAGCCATGGGAATAATTTCGATAAGAAGGAGCCGTGTTTGCTAGATGATCGGCCAATCCATTTAATTAGAAATTACCAAAAAAAAGTAAGTGAGCAATCTGCAAAACTTCTCAGCTGCGTAAAAAATGTTACCATTAATTTAAATTAATAAACTACGCCAAGGACTACTTAAATGATACACATAATCTTGTCGGTATTTTCTTACATCAGATGATTAATATTTCACAAAACCATATATTAAGTTTCTTAAAAACATGTTTGATATCACTTAGAAATCGCTATGTTCAATTTTTAGTGAAAACGATAACTTTATCTTTGAAGTAAACAGTTTTTTTATTTAAAAATTTATATATTAATTTTAGTTAACTTTGTCGAATACTACATCTATCGGGAAGTTTGTGCAACTTGCTTGAAGGCAAAATGCCACTTTCAAGTAATTATTGATATGACGCCCTATCTTTAAACTTAAACAAGTAAATATCAATATGAAAAAAAAAAACGGATTGCGATAAATATGTTGATAAAACAAAAACAATTTTAAACAGGCATTCATCCAGATAATAAATAGAAAAAGTAAGACATGTTTCTTAAAAAAAAATTAATAACTCTATACGTTTCGAGTCCCAGTTTGACTCTTCTTCAGTGCAAACTACAGCATTGTGCGAATGTCAATTCGCGATTTGTTCTTTGGGATTCGATATTCGAATTTTTTATTTTTAGTTTATATCTTTTTTGAAATATAATTCAGTTATTTGCGTTATTTCAAATGGAATCTTAGAAGTACACAAAATAATATGATGCTCATCAACAGTGATATTAGATTAAATGGCTTTTTATATTATTGCAATTATATGACTCATCAAGCATTTTTTCCTATGCATTATAAAAACCCGACATATGCGACTGCTCAACATAAAAGACTGATAATATAAAATAGCTAATAAATTCACCAATTGGCTCATATATCTGAAGTTTCGTACCTGGTAGCAAATACTAACCTTATCACTAATTTGATATATGCATTTGTGAACATCAATTGTTCTTTTAAAACTCTCTTCTCTGCCATTTATTTTCAAGTAAGCCTTCACATAAGCCCTGTAATTTAAGTAAGAAACAAATAATTATGTTAACAGTTAGCATAAGTTAACATTATGAATAAAGCATAAGTTAACATTATGAACTATAAGCAGAGATAAATATATATATATATATATATATATATATATATATATATATACTAGATCACCCGACAGACATTGTCCTGTACCCACATCTACGTTTTTTTAATATCCTATACTAATATTTATACCGTTCAGTTAAAAATAAATCATTACTGGTTTTCGAATTACTGTTTACACACCAATATATGAATGATGTTGAATGAAGAACTGTTTCAAATAAAATGATTATTCTCAATTCGCACAGTTAACACTTTAATTATACATTAACAAATATTAAAAAATGTTCAATAAAATTGCAATTTTATTGAACATTTTTTAATTTTGGAAATAAATTTGCAGTGTATAATTTTCAATATACATGTATATTGAAAATTATACACTGCAAATTTATTTCCAATAGCTCAATTTATTTTAATGCCAAAGGTTATACAGTTTTTCAGTCATACCTGTAGATGTGGATTATAAATAAATGATTTTTTGTTTATTCACGACTAAAACATTGATTTTCCAAATTTATCACACAAAAAATCATCGCCTTTGTGATTTGTGGTCATAGCACGTGTTGAAAATTCAGAAATAATTAATATATAGCATTCGCGGTATAGGTACAGTATCACCTTGGATTTTTCTACCCAAAATAGTTGCTTCAATAATAATTTTCATAATTATTTCAACTGGCTTTTAGTAATTTACGATCTTAAGTTCAGAAGTGAAAACAATTTGCACTTCGTCACCACCCACCGGATTAATTGAATTATAACTATTTTAATTCTGATTTTATCAGTACTTGCAATACACTATTTTAAAGGTAATTAAATGAGCTACAACGTTCTCTATCAAAAATTTTACCGTAACTTCTCTTATTTTGAATTGGCAAAGGATTGAAGGACTCGAAAGACACTCTTGTTGGACACTATCAATATTTGTGTAACAGAAAAATAATAAAAAGCAATAATTGGTCAGTAAAAGACCTTGAATTTTTATTTATATACCTTTATACGTAATCTTTTATTTTTTTAAATAGATTTTTTTCATAAAATCAGGAGCTTTTTGGAAATCGTTTGCACTAAAGTTATAGTATTTTCTAGAATCCGTCAAGATCTCTTAAACCAAGTTGATTCTAGAGGAAATACGATTATTTTTAATTTTGGTGGAAATGGCACTCAAAAACTATTTGCTTTAAATGAAAAAAATATTGTATGCGTCTTTTATCTGCATGATAGCTCACTCATTTTACACGCAGAAGTACTCATTTTATTAACTTCCCGTAGGATAAGTTATTGTAATGGGCCGAAAATCGGAATTGAAAATTTTTACATTTCTCATTTTATCATTTCGTTTTGAAGGTTTCTGAACGTTTTGGCATACCTCAGAAAAAATGGATGTGTGTGTGTGTGTGTGTGTGTATGTATGTGTGGATACAAATTTCTAGTCACGTTTTAGGGCGCACGGATCAACCGATTTGAATGGTTCAAAAAACATTCGATTCCTATTGATAGGGAAAAGAGCTGATTAGTTTTTGGCAAAGGCAGGTCCAGCCGTTTCGGAGATACGGAGCAAAGAGTGCAGAAAATAGAAATCGAATTTTTGAGTGAACGGAGTATCCGATTTGAATGATCTAAAAAACATTCAATTAGTAATGATTGGGAGAAGTGTTTATTAGTTTTTGGCAAAGGCAAGCCCAGCCATTTCGAAGATACGGAGCTAAATATGTAAAAAATGGCTGTTTTTGAGAGAACTAAGCGTCCGATTTAAATGATTCAAAGAACTTTCTGTTTGTCTTAACAAAATAATTAATTTTGAAAAAAAAATTTTGTTCCATTTTTTTTTTTGTATATCGAAAATATTTCAGATTTTATTTTTAATTCTGACTATAGTTCTAATATACTTTACAAATAATTTCAACTCTGCAACATTTATATAATTCTTATAAATATTACACAATGTTACAATATTTATAATAATCTATTTGAAAACATTCAATATTCCTCGAACATTTCGTTACGGTGCGGGAAGTTCCAGCAATTTGCCTTAAGGCACGATGCCATAATTGCCTCAAGACAGAATTCCACTTACAGCTAGTTTTAAAGCTTATTTTGAATACTATAAAACCCCATTTTCATATCTAGCCTAATATTGTTCTTAGAACAATTTATAGAGCACCGATTTATTAGGATTTTAATTGATATAATTTTGTTCATTACATGATTTTCGTTTAAATGTATATTTTTAGATATGTTTGCAAGAAACGATGAAAAACGCAAAAAACAACAAATTTTCAGTAGCCAGTAACTTGGAAAGTAATTTCTTTTTTAAAAAACATTATTGAACATTATTCTCTTCTGATTAATTCTTTTAACGATATCCGACCTTAGTTTGAAAGAGATACAATTGCATCACTGAAAAGAGATGTCACCACCCCGGAAAGTGGCAAATGATTCTAAATTATTTTTACTTTTAAACTTGAGAGTAAGATGAACCTAATTCCAAAAATTCATGCAAATTGGAGCACATTAAAAATATTCAGACCCAAAATGCTCCATTGTCTTGAGTATATATTTCGTATCCAATGCCACCCATGTGAATTTTTATTTTATCTTTTTTAGCTAATAATGAAGGATTATTTAGCATATATTGCTATATATTATGTGGTCTTAAGCCACTAAGCTTTCTGAACAGTTAAAAGAATACACCCTCAAAATTTGAGCCTTGTGAAAGCAAGTTAAAAAAATTTTTTTTTACATTTTCAAAAACTCGAGGGATGATGATGACGCAATCGCGAGATGAAAAACATCATTAAAAAAAATTCTAGCTTTGAGAAAACAGGTTAGTCAACTAGTTCACTGGCTCTTAGACTAATAGATAGTGATTGATAGACAAAGGGTAAGTATTATAATTAGAAACTATTAAAATTATATTCAATATCAGGTAAAGGTAAGGGTATGATTTTAAATGTTTTTTTCAGTTTTTCAAAGAACGATGGCTCCAATTAAATATTAACTCAAAACCCTGGAAAAGGTTTTAAAAGAAATTCGGAATAGTATATTAACTGTTTTTAAGGCTTCTAAAAATACAAATTTCCCAATCAAACCTAATTTAAGCTAGTTGGCTTCGTTAATTTGAAAGACTTTGTTGGTAGAATTGTAACTTTTATTTCAAGTTTGAAATTTTTATCTTGAGTTTAAATTTTATATTTATTTAAAGATTATATTTTTGTTTATTCGCCGTTAAAAATTATTCCTTTGTTTCATATATTTATTTGGTTTATTTTTTTACCGAAACTTTCAGTATTGATAATAATTATTATACTGTTACCAAAATAATACCAGTTTTACTTTATTTTTGTTTTGGAAGGTTTTCAACTTTTTATATTTTAATGATTTTTATAAAACTAAATTAAATAAATGTTTAAAATTATATCAAAATATTATTTTTTAATTAATCATATTTTTTATAGCCAATTCAAGTATACTCATCAAGGCAATACAATCAAAACTCCCGACATTATGTTCACGAGTCGCATTTTATCACGGAATTAGGGACAAAGTAGTTATTAAAAAGTCTTATTTATTATAGAATAGAACAGTTTTAGCTCGTTCACTTTCCTACTTTTTTTACTAATCATCTTTAAAGTCAAACGTTCCTTAACATCCCGTAATATGGTACATTTACCTTAAAATGTTTTATTGTCGTACGTTTCGGATCCTGATTTGAAGAAAAGACAAAAAAAACACAGAAAATATAATGCACCAATTACTAAACAAATAATGCCTTTATATTTATCCAAGTTTATTCCAAAAAGTTTTATTACTCAAAAGAATAGCTCTATCAATAAGAGAAATGATAATGAAAATTTTTACAGAACAAGTATGAAACGATAAGTATAATTAATATATCTACCAGAGGAAGTTAAAATTGAATTATTATTCATTTTGGTGTCTAATGATTTTAATGTCTATAAAGCTAATAGAATTAACCTCTTCAAACTCACAAGTAAATTTTAAATGATTGATTGAAATATGGAATCGTTATCTATAAGCACACGAGAATGTCATCAACATATCTAAAGTAAAAGAAAGGTTGAATAGGAAGTTTGGGTGGAACAAAATTTTCAGGTAATTGTAAAGTTGAATGCCAAAGGGGGACAAATGCTAAAACCCATAGGCATACCAAAGATCTGAGCAAAAAAAATTTTTTTAAAACAGAAATAAGTATTACTGAATATGAACTTTAGGATATGTTTAAACCATAATAAATTAATAGTTGTATGATGTTGGATGTAATTCCAATGATCTGAAATGGCATCCAACGGAAGATCTTATGGAACATCAGTAAAGAAAGAGACAACATCAACATCTAGTTTCAAAACGTATAAACAAGTTTAAAATAAACATTTCTACATTCGACGCATTGGCTGTTTTATTGAATTCAATATGATTCAACATCGAACAATAATATATATATATATATATATATATATTGTTGTTATTGTATAGATATATATAAAATTTATTGGCCAGACTTGCGAGAACTAGATAAAAGACTCAGGCAACATGAATTTACAATGCAAAAAAATAGATAACAAAAAATTTAAAAGTACACTTGTGGATCATGCTAATATCAACAACCATAAGTTTGATTTTGACAATTCTCAAATCTTATTCCATGAAAAAGACTTATTAGAATCAATGGTAATAGTTCGGACTAACAATAGCGTAAATCTGAGAACCAACACAAATATTTTACACGACACTTATACAAACATCATTAATAATTTATAATTTTTTCATTTATTTTATTCTCTTCAATAAATTAATCTGTTTTCATATTTATCGATTTTTGTATGCAAAAGCACTCCTTTTGTACATTATAATGATACCCATCCTACTGTCTCCATCTAGATACTTCAGATTTGTTTAGAATATTTCTGTAAGTGTTATACGTTTTTTAGTACTGTGTCAAGCATTACAAGCAATAGTTGCTGTTTTTTGTATATCAAAAATTGAATGTAATCTAAATAAAATATTAAAGAATGTGTAGTATATAAGTAACTGTTTTTGAAATTACAGTGAAGATGAGACATATCATGGTTTCGAAACGTCTGTAATTATTAAATAAAGTTGTGTTAAAAATCTGAGTGTTGCATTGTTCATATTCAACATTTATATATATATATATATATATATATATATATATATATATATATATATATTCGACGACTGGCTGAAAATCTTTATTCAAGTCTCAACATCGAACAAAAAAATCTAATTATTATTATATATATATATATACATATATATATACATATATATATATATATATATATATACGTGTATATATATATATATATATATATATATTAAAACGAGTGACCAAGTAAGAAAAAGCAATTAGGAAAACAGCTTTATAAATCCATATGTTTCCGTCTTCATCGAGACCATCATTCAGTGGAAAATTGTAAAGATTCTTTGTAATTAATTTAAGAAAGGAAATTGATACATGTATCAATCAAGTATCATCATTAATCATGTATCAATTTTCTTTCCTAAATTAATTACAAATGAAATTTTCAGTTTTCCACTAAATGATGGTCTCGAAGACTGAAACGTATGGATTAATAAAGCTGTTTTCCTAATTGCATTAGTATTAAGTTATAGTTGGAACGAAACCAATAATAATTCTATGAAATTTTTATGACTGTTTCTTCATTAAAACTTGAAATTCGAAAAAATTCATATCATATTTCAACTGAACTTTTTGGTTGATATCGAAAACAAAAATATAATATATATCAATATAACAAAAATATTATATATTAGATCTTAAATTAATTAAATGAAAAATTGTAGATTACAATGCATATTATATTTGGAATATACCAAATATAACTTACCCGGAAGGTATCTCCTCATTCCATATAGCTCCATATATCAAATCTTTTAAATTATTTCCACGTAATTGAGTAACATTTTGCCCCATTACAAAGCAAATAGCGTCCAAAAAGTTCGATTTCCCTATAAGTAGAAAAATACGTTAATCATTTTCAAGACAATGAAATAAATTATTGTTTTAGTAAAAAATATGTATGTAAGTATCAATCTCGATCCAAAATACTAGCTGCAATGAAATATAAATATAGGTTGCTTCTGTCTACTGTAGAAACATTCAACAGAAACCTTACAATATTTAGAGTTTTAAGGGAAGTAAAGTATTCCATTAACATTAACTTTGGAACTCGACCCTACAATGGTCAGTCGTAAAGAATCAATTGAATTCGAAATATTAATTACATACCTGTTCCATTTGAACCTACTAACGCCGAATATTTTTCATCTAATACAATTTTAACTAAATCTTTATACGATTTAAAATTCTGAATTTCTAGATGACTGAGAACAACTCGGTCTGTTTCCATAACTATAAAAAATAAAATCACAATCTAAACAATAACTTCCAGTATGTATGTCCAAGTTACACATTCGCTAAGAAAGAACCAAGATTTGTTCTAGAACGTTTAACATTAGCAATGACCAATGAACAATGCTCAGGGCGGCAATTGACTACTCTTCGTCAGTCAATTCCCGCGCTTTTTCGGTGTTTCAGTCCTACCCAATGAGTTGATATGACCAATTGACCAATTGACCAATGGCTTGTTAAACATAGAGAAAAGAGTTTGGAGCTTAGACAATATTAGATACCTAGATAAACAAGCATAAATAATATGGGTTGGAGTGGGTTGGAGCATGGCCGGTAATGCGGTAATCCATTATTATTATATTGTCTAGGCGGTAATCTCCGTACAAATGTTTGTATCTGAAATGTCTGTATTGAACTTAATTTCTTGTCAATGATTTGTGTCAAAACTCGACGATATAATAAACGCTTGTTAAATAAACATATAAAATAATTAATATATGGAATTGCAAACTTTTACAATGCAAAAATACCTAGAAAAATGCAATAGTTATATATTTCCTACAAGAATCGATGTAGTATGTAAAATGATTAATAATCTTTACGGGCCTTCAACAATAAGTATTTTTATCAATATACTGAAAAGATATGAGATGTTGTGTTGTGGGGTGTTGATTGGATTGGGTTGGGTTCCAAATGTAGATTGATCCACTCTCCAATGGGGTGCTAGATCCGTCCAACCTTTTCCTGGTGTCGTGGGCAGAGCTTATAGTTATAATAAAATAACAACACTGGTATGAGTTTCCTCAGAACCGTGAGCACTTTATATTGGTATAGGCTGAAAGAGTCTTTACGCAAAGTAGAATATAAACACTGAATCTAATTTTGACTATAATTTTATTTAATCTTTAATAACTTCACATCACAAACTAGCATAGATTCGTGTTAAGACATACTCTGAGACATTATGGCTAGACTTTTGACTAAGACATCACTGTCTTTGCTGGACGATAACTAGTCTATTTATTCAATATAGGACGTGACATATGTGTACTTCCGCATTCGTGCGCTGTCCTTGTACTTTGATTATTTATTAAACCCGCACGAAATGCATTGTTACACAATAATACATACATCAAAATACTTGCATCTATCAGTACTATCCTGATATAAGTTTTATTATAGCTTATTAACTGAGACATTTAAGAATGCTAGGAATTTTAAGATTATAAATATTAAAAGATGAAATTGTCGCCAGACTAACCAACTCACTAAAACTATGGGAGGAAATAATTAAACAAAAAATCTTCCTTCCAATTAATTTTATAATAGTGATGACAGATACAAGATTATATGGAGCTCTTTATATTTACATCAAATGTAATAATATAAAATTATAAATGCAATATACATAAAACAATGATATATATGTAAGAGATAGTGTAGATATTATGTAATTTAGTATATGGCTAATGTACCAGTTTATAAAGCCAATAAAATAATAATAAAAAAAAAAAAAAAACTCACTGAAAGGCAAGTTTTTAATAATTATTCTTGTACTAATAATAAAGCGTTTATAATAAATAATTTAACATTGATTTTTTCAGCAGTTTGTCTCTCGGAAGTAGTTATAAAATGTTTAAAGGGTTTACTGAACACAAGTATTGATATGAGACGAACATGCAAGAAAAAACATTAAGAAAGAAATTACAAGCAAATCTGAAAGCTGCTGAAATATTTGTTGATCCCTCAATGATATTGAACAATATTGCTCATAAATATATATTAAATCGGCTAAGAGAAAATACTAAAATATTAAATAGAAGGGAATTCATGCTTAATGATAAAATTCTAGCTAGTACAAAGGGTAGTTTAGGTTTTGCTATGTCCCATGAAAAGTTTGTGAGTAGCTCAAATTGCATTTTGATATTACAAGAAATATTATTATTTGCGTTGTTTAATGATCATAAAAGGAATCTCATCTGTACAATTAAATAAGGCTATTATAATCGAAATTTTAAATAAAAATACATAAAATATTTCTTATAAATATTAGACAATGTTACAGTATTGATTTATAATAATCTATTTGAAAACATTTAATATTCCTCAAACATTTTGTTACAGTACGAGAAGTTCCAGCAATTTGCCTTAAGGCACAATGCCATGTACACCACTAGTTTCAAATTTAAATAAGATAAATAAAAATGAGCCACCAAAGCTGTTGTGTAGTGGGTTGTAGAGATGACTGCAAATTCTATACATTTTTACAATAAGTGGAAAGAAAATCAAAGGGAAAAGTGGATAGCTGTGGTTAGAAGAATAAAGTAAGTATCATAACCTTATTGTTATAAAAATACAATTCGGAGTACCATGAATAGTTGCAAAATTGTTAAGTTTAGCAAAAAAAGAAACTAGTTGGTTTGGTATTTAGCCTTGAGGCAAGTTACATGAACTTCTCGATATATTTAAATAATCGACTTAATCAATAAAAAATAAATTAATTTATGAGTCATTAAAAGTATTCCGAGTGGATTTATTACACATAATTGAAAACGAACGAACACTTTGTCTCGGATTATTTTCTAAAAGCAAATTTTATATAATTGAACCAGTTTTCAGGACTTTAATGGTTTATTATGTTCAAGACCAAGTACTCTACATTATACCAAGTAAACAGTCATTTTCTCAAACTTTGATGAATTTTTAAAATCAAACTATTTGTCGTAAGGCCGTAATATTTCAGTAAGTTCTGTAAGACCATGATATATATCGCTAAAAAAAATTCCATAAAAATCGGCTTAAATATTTTTTTCAACAGTTAATTACAAGAAAACGGTAGATTTTCACCTAAAATTAATCAGTATCATTCCCAACTAATATCTTTCGAACATTTTTTGATATTTTAAAATCGGTTCGGTAGGATGAGCTTAAATGTCGACGAAAATTTAACACTTTTTTTCAAATTATAAAGAAACGGCTTGGCAGATCGTCGCACAAAACTGACAAACGATAGTCCTCATCACCGAAATACATCAAATGGCTTTTAAGTTTCAGAGATCGGTTCAGGTGCTTTTGAGAAAACATCGATCAAAAGTCTAATTTTTGACAAATGTCAAAAAAACGATACCAATTTTTGCAAACTTTGACGAATTTTTAAAGCTGAACCAGTTGTCGTAGGGCCATAATATTTTAGTATGATATAGAAGACTGTGGAATCTACCGTCAAAAAAATCATAAAAATCGTCGAAATTTTTTTTTTTAAAAACGTTATTACAAGAAAATGGCCCGGCCGATCTTTACCAAAAACTAATCAGCACTATTCCCAACCAATATCTATCGAATGGTTTTTGAATTTTCAGAATCGATTCAGAATTGCGGGCTAAAACGTGGGCGGAAAATTTTTCACTTTTCTGCAATTTACAAAGAAACGGCCCGGCCGATCGCTGCACAAAACTCAGAGACGATAGTCCTCATCGAGATACATCAAATGGCTTTTAAATTTTTGAAATCGGTCCAGCCGTGAAGTAAACGTCGATTTACGGCAAAAAATCTGTTCACACACACACACACACATACACACACACACATACTTCTTCCAAATTTGGTCTCATTCGATTCAGAATGGCTTGAAACGTCGAGAAAACATAAAATTAGCGATTCGGATTTTTTGATGAAAACATAAACTTCTCCTTCGGGAAGTTAATTATAAGTCAATAAATTGTTATATTATCAAAATTTAATGATTACTATAAAAAAATATTTTGCAAACAATGTAATTAATACAAGGCTGAAATAATGAAAAATATATATTAGTATATTGTATATTGATTATGTATAACTATTATCTATTTATTAATTACATTTTATTATATTGCAGTGAACATTTCATTGGAGGAAAAAAATCGGACGATTTATTGAGTCCTACTTACTTTCCAACAATATTCCCTTCAGTTTACAAGTCTCAAAAAGTTAATGTAGTTTTTTTTCTGCAATTTTATTTGATGGGCGATGGACTCAAATCATGTCTTTATAATAATGTCTAAGTCTTTAGTTCGACCAAAAATGGTTGAATTAATTTATTATTTACTTATTCCATTGATAAAATATTTTTATCACCTATATGTTCCAATTCTATTTATGTCATATGCCAATAGTTGTAATCATAAATATTGTGTATTTTATGGTTCACAATACAACTGCTTTCAAATATAATTATAACAATTTTTATTATCGCAATTATTTAGTAATCAATTTTTTGTAATATGTTCTAGTACTCAAGTACTATATATTAGAGGTTCTTCACAAATTTTAGTGTAGCTATTTTGATCTATTATTGTTATTTGTATTATGATGTGATGTGTATTATTATCTCTTTTATTGTTGCCATTTTGATCTAATATTGTGAATGTATGTATGTATTGTGATATGCTGTCTACTATTAGAAGCTCTTTTATTTTAGCCATTTTGATCTAATTTTGTGAATGTTATATGTGTATATTACAGCTATCCATGCTTCATGATTATTTATACTCATAATCTTCCTTATTCGTTTTAATGATTTGCAAGTCATTATATACTATAGACTACAGTATTTCTTCAACGATACATCCATGTTAATTGAATGTAATAAATTTTGTAACATAATATTGTAGTAATTTGTTCAGTATATATTTTAATTTGAGATTTTCCAAAGTGCGGGGTATAATTGATACGGCACTCAGCAAGGCACCCAATCAAAAATGCATGATATGTTTCAAACAAAATTTGTTTGAATTATTATCAAATCATTACTATTTCATTCCTATAGGTTAAAAAAATTTATAGCCAAATGTTCAGTATTATAACTCGGTAACAACAATTAATAGAACCATACATATATAAAAATAAAGGATAAATATATATTCATTATTTAATTAATATGAGATACCATATACTTATAATTATGCTTAAAATTATGCTCAATCATGTTTATTAGTTCATAGAATATGCAATATTTAAAAATTATGTGCTAGAACTTAGTCGCCATAATCAGCCGTGCGAATTGAAGCAATGTTACTGCACATTCCCCTGGATTTCTGTAAGTATACTTACACACATATAATTACCACATATAATTATATATAATTATATGTGGGTTTATATATAATTAAATAATAATATATATATATATTTTGCTTCATATATCTATATATATTATACGTGGTCTGTTCAAAAAGTACCCGGAATTTTCGTTTTTTCAAAAAAATATTTATTTATTCGTCTACATTAATGTGGTCCCCTTCAAAGTAGTCCGCCCCAGATATAATACACTTATGCCAGCGTTTTTTCCAATTTTCGAAGCACCCTTGATATTCACTTTTTGATATGTCCTTGAGCACTCTCAGCGATTTTCTTCAATCGAGGAAAACCGCCGTCCTTTCATGGGTCTCTTCAACTTTGGGAATAGGAAAAAGTCACACGGAGCCATATCTGGTGAATTTTTGCACTTTGCAACACTTTATTTCATTTTTTACGCAAAATTTAATACAAATTCTTTGACTTTTCAATTCTTCCATTGTAAAAATCGCCGAGCTCAGAAAAACACGTCGAACCTTAGCGACTACCACAGACAAAGTAAACAGTGAATATAGCTGAAAATTTCATCATACTTTAGGGGCATGTATACCAACACAATAAAAAAAAATTTTTGACAATCAGACACTCCAGACCCGCGAAATTTAATTATTAGTAATTCCGGGTACTTTTTGAACACACCTCGTATATATTTTTGAACTAGATGACCGACAGCCATTGCTCTGTACCCATATCTACAGTTTTTTAATATAATATACTAGTATTTATCGTTTACCTTAAAATATTTGTTTTTTTAAATTACTCTTCACGCCAAAATGCATATACATTTATAATATGAGCGATGTTAAATGTAGAACTACTTTAAATAAAATGATGAGTCTCAATTCCAA